AATTCAGATAATAAATCACTATGAATATAAGAACAATCAATATCGATGTAATCATATCATTCAATTGAACAGGATGAATTAATGATGCAAAACTGTACCAACCTGCAAAATGAATGTAGAATTAAAATTATATATTGACCGTTTAATGCTATGAATCTTACCATTACGATATTCGTTACGAAGAATTTTCATAAAATTCACTATCATGATGGAATACATTCCTAAACCAAGGGATAATGTAAGTATCATTATCATTATTAAAAGCATCAGACATGTTCCAATTAATCGATCTTCTTTCAATTTTTCTTGACATGTTTGATTGAATTGTTCAATATTGAATGGTAGACAACCACTTGGTATTACCATATCTTTATTAGCGATTGATGTAAGTAAAATAATGTTTATTGTGCTCGATACAATAACCAAAATTATATTTCGAACATCTGCTATGAATGTCAAACGTAATAGACGCCGGAATTGTGTCCAAAGATCCGAACTACGAAATTTTCGTGAATAATGAGGAATACCTTTTGGAATAGAAGCAAATGGACATTCTTCTTTTTCAAATTTACTGAATTGAGCTGTAAGTCGTTGATGGCCTTGTTGCACACTTTCTTGTGTTAATTTTCTTACTTGTTCATCATTGATGCCATTGCTAGCGATACGAAGATATTCCTGGATTGGAGAATCATCCCCATTCAATGCGATTCCAGTGATTTGATTCAGATGTGACCGTAATCCACCCGGTTGATCAGAATAAATGCAAACACCTCCTTTGGCTATAATGTACAATTGATCGAACATATCCAATATATCCGAACTGGGAGCATGAATTGACACGAGGACTGTGATGCCATTCTGTGTGGACAATCGTTGTAGACACTTCATGACCACCAATGCTGACTCACTATCCAGACCGGTAGTAGGTTCATCGATGAACAAAAACGGCGGTTTCGATTCGATTGACATCAGCTCTTGAGCGATGGCCACTCGACGTTGTTCGCCACCAGAGCAATTTTCGAAACGTGTTTGCAACACTTTTGGATTTAGCATCAATTCCTGGATCGTTGATTGGATGTGTTGATATGCTCGGCCATGATAGCGAGCAGGATTCTTGAAGCAGAATGCATAATACAAAGTCTCGAGCACTGTGAACCGTCCAAGGATTATCTCATGAACGAATTGTGGCACAAAACTGACCAATGAATTCGATGACTTTGTGATTATTTCACTGTTAATATAAATTTCAGTGTCGGGTGAAATGTTCTTGGCTGGAACATTGCCAATGAGACAATTTATGAGCGAAGTTTTACCTGAACCGGATGGTCCAAGCAATGCATTCAAACTGTTCATTCGTACTGATCCATTAAGACGATTAAGGATAACTTTTCGCCGTCGTCGTGGTTGCCAACCATCGACCATACACCATTCATCAACTTCATAACGTAAATTTTTCCAACACAACGAAATTGGTTTTTTGAATTCACAACATACATCTGTTTCATTCGACATGATTTTATCAGATTAAAGGCTTATATTGAATGATCACCAAATATATATATATATGGAGCTTCAAAATTAAAAATGCCATCATCATGATCATCATATGAATAACAATTCTTAGGAAATGAAATGAATAAAAAAAAAAAATTTTACTGCCTTTGATAATGAATGTGCACTGGAAATCTATTTTTTGCATTTATTTCGCAAATATCTGCCTTTCTGATATATATATAAATGATAATAACAGAAACAACAATAAAAAAAACTAGATTTTACCAATCATTAACCTTGAGCAAAAGGAAAATGTGCATCCTTTGAATGATGATTTGATTCCAATTAAAAAAAAATTTTTTATAAACTTGTCTGGTAAATTGATAACGATAGATACTAAAATTGACAATTTTAGCAAAAAGGGTTCATTCTATATAAACATTTTTTGTTGTTGTTGTTGTTGTTGCGAAAACATTGATTTGCAATCATCAACATTAATTAACCGGTTTGAATGAAAAAAAAAGAACAAAATTCAATATGGCAAATGAAAATATATACTTTTGATGATTATTTCAATTATCATCATCAATAATTGGTGATTGTTTTATTATCCACAAAATTGGCTGGCTGATAATTAAATTGAAAAATGTGATTTTTTTCACTCTAAAATTTATCAAATCACCAAATCGCCAAAAAAAAATCTATATTTCTGATGATAAAATGACTCAAATTATCATCCAAAGACATTTTTTCTTTCTGCAAAAACACAAACATTAATTTGCGAAACAAGATCATCATTAATATTTCATTTCATTTTATCGATTGATTAGTTTTGATTGAATGATTCAAGGTTTATTTTTTTCAGACAAATACTTTTAGCATGAAATTTTTTTTTTTATTTATTTAAAATGAACAAAAGAGTTAACACATTGATAGAATGTGAGAAAAATGTTGTTAATTAATTAATTAAAAGTTGCGTTTTTTTTGTTTTTTTTTCGAATAAAACTTGAATTATTAATCAAATGACGTGAAAGAAATTCCATCATCCATCCATTCATTCATTATCGGTGATGATTGGAATTTTTATTTTTTCTCGCAAATTATAGTTTCGTTGCAATCAATACATACATCATACTGAATTATTTACGGTTTCTGTTTGACAGATAATGATACAATAGATACATATTAAACACAATGTATCGAGTAAAAATTCAAAATCAATACGACAACAATTGAATAGATTTAATCGTAAATAATCCAAATAAACGGCATTCATTTCAAATAATCGTAAATATTGTTGTTGTTGATAATTATCATTTGTTGTAAATTTTTTCAACATTTTTCCATCATTCTGTATGTAATGTTCAATTTTTGTAGAAATTTTCACTATTGATAAATCAATCGATACAATGTAGATAAGATATATGATTATTATGATGAAAAAACCAAGTAATGGATAATCCAATTGTTTGGATGTTAATGCCAATACTAGATCCAAACAATTACTAATATATTCTAGTAAAAATATCCATGAAAATAATTCATTAATACGTTGATTCAGCTGTGCTAATTGGCGAACTGTTTGTATAAGCTGTTGATGGCCAACATTCGTATCATCATCATTGGTGTTTTGTTTAAATCGTTCAAATTGATATGACAATTGAACATTGGTTCCATATTTAATATAATGATAAATCATTAGATAAGCAAATTGTTGTATATCTTCACAAAAATATGCAAACACTGCTAATGGATGACCATCTTCAATGATTTGACAAAGAAATCGTAGATAGAATAATGGATATGTTATTATTATGAATATGATTGTCATAACGAATATTGTTCGTGGCCATCGTATATGATGATAAATTTCATTGAATAAATCATCATTTAATATATCGATCACTTTTGGTCCATATATCAATAAATAGAACATGAGCATTAAACAAATTGTTTCAAAAATATGATCATTAATCAAATGAAATAGACATAGAAATGCATTCTGATAATCATCAACTGAATCTCTATTAAATTTTGGTGGATAATCATAAAAAAATGAATAGACCAATATCATAATGATGATCAGGTTCCAAATGAATCTCAATATAGTGGATTTTTGTTTCCAATCAATATGATGTAATCGCATGCCTAGAAGTCTAAAAAATTAAAATTAGTGAAAATCGGTAAAAAAAAAATTTTTGATCATTGATCAAATTTACCCGAAAAAATTGCAAAATAATTCCAGTAATAATGATGATCTACCAGTATTGTCATCATGATTATCGATGGTCATCATCATATCCATGGCTATCATCGATATGAAATGGAAACAGAGAAAAAAAAAATTGGAAATGAATAAAAAAAAATCGAAAAACGTTTGTTCAATTCAACGACGACTAATTTAGTAATTACATGTCATTATTGTTTCTGGGAATTGTTTTTTTTATTGTACTTTTAATCATAAGATCTAGTTATTGATCTGAATAATAAAATCAATTTGTTTGGGAAATACTTGTTCATTTTTGGTGTTGTTGTTTTCGTTGTTTGTTTGAATATTTGTCGTCAATGTCGATTCGTTTTGTTGTTGATGATCCATTGGTTGATTATTGACGGAATTGTTGTTTAAAATTAAATTCGAATGTTTGGTAATAATGTGTTGATACAAATGACGACGTTTGTCGAAATTAAAGTTTTTTTCACAGCATGTGATGTGAATAAATTTTTTCCGCAATAATCCATAGTAAAATTGAACAATTGGACTATTTTGATCTAATCTGGTTAGAATTTTTTTCTAAAAAAAAAATTGGTAGTCAGAAAGAAATATGAAATTATGAAAGTTCAAGTTTTTGTTTTTGTTGTTTTAATCAGAAAAATAACTTACAGGAATGAATTTTTTTGCAATTTCATTTGCAAGTTCATAATGAGCAACCAATGATTCTTTTGTTGAGTTGGCAATGATTTCATCATCGGAATCTGTGATAATAGTTTCGATTTTAGCCTGAATGATGTTAAATTTTTCTTTATCCATTGCATAATGTCCATAATTGTGAACATAATCGACCAATTTATCAATCAAATGTTCATAGTAATCGATGATGTAACAATTTTTAATGTCACCATTATTGATAAATCCATATAAACGATTCAAACGATAACTTATATACAAAGTAAGTTTTTTTTTCGAATTTTTTTCATTCATTTTCATTTAGATAATATTGATCATTATTATATACAAACAAATATCAATTGGTCAAATATCATTTATTGGATGGATTGAAAATCGAATATTCAAAATCAAAATTTCACATCGATTCATTTCAATCACATGAGTGGAAGGATATAATTTCGAAATGAAGGATCTTTTTTTTCGAAAATTTTTTTTGGTTCAAAAAAAAAAAAACACGAAAACCTTGTTCACACACTGAAAGAAAGTATATATACTTTCAATGTATAAAATGAAATTTTAAAATTTTTTTTTTTAAATAAAAATCAAATGATCATCATGATGATGATTAAGATTTGAGTATTTTAATGAAAAGTTGATAAAAAAATATTAAAAATTCATGTCCAAATAATCTGCGGAATGAAACGATCCTGTGCACTATAAATAATTTGTATTTCTTCAGCAAGAAATTGCAATGGTAACAAGACTAGATGACCTTTGATCGATGAAAGCATCTCTTCAGCTTTTGTTTCATCGGTTTTATATAATTTTTCTCTTCCTAGATAGGTGTTTATATCCGATAATTTTTGAACATCATCCGTAGGCATAACCGGGAATACTTGTTCATAGATTTCTGTATTTTCTTTCGCTCTTGCATTCCAGATTTCATTCCAGAATTGATCGGAAATTGGATCATTAACCAGATCGGTCATTTTTAGCATATCTTCTTTGTTTTCCTTATAAATACCAAGATGTTCACGCATCAACATTCGTCTTAATGAACCGGAAAATTTTCCCGATTTATATGGTTTTTCATTCATAAAATAAAAATCATATTCTTGATCTTCAATAATGACACATACTTCTGAATCACGATAACCCAACATTGAACGATCATTTATGTTGGCCGAACCAATAATACTGATTTTATCATCTGCTATTAGAATTTTACTTGAAATTTGAAAACGAAGAAAAAATTTCTACATAATTTTCATTCAAAAAACAATGATTGAAAAAAACTTACCTATGAATATAGATCAATTCGGTGACCAATCGTCCATTCAATTTGGTATGATTCCTAAGGCTATAGAATCCAATATATTGACTTGGATCATCAATTTCCAAACTTAATTTCGCCAATAATGAATCATATCCTTTGACAATTGTTGAATAATTATAATGCATAATCTGTTGAATGGCTGTACCGCTACTGGTGCCAACTTCACCTTCGAATGCTGGTAACAATGGAATGAGTATGAATACACGAAATGTATGGCCATTACGAAATGCACGTAATATACGTCGATAAAGTGCTTCGGCTATACGATTTTTAACGAGATCTGTACTTTCCAAATGAGTTTTTGTTTGTGAAATAAAAAATTGATTTTCAATATAGATATAATGTTCAGCTTGATTGATCACTTCAATGTATGCATCGACAATTGATGCTTCCGTCTGTCGGATACCGATAGACCATGAACCAACTGAACGTATCTTTTGTGGGTGGGTGAGAAAAAATTCAAATCAAAAAAAAAAATTTTAAATTTTCAAAAAAATACAAAAAAAAACTTACAGTCTGACAATTAACACGATGAACACGTGTCAGATAAGCTGGTATTTGATCCATTGGTTTACCATCGACATTCGTTGTTGTTAAATCTTTTCGATATGTTTTCGGTATTAGCCATGGATAACGGTCTTTGAATTTTGCTTTCGAAAATTTTGTATGATTCCAACGTTCAATAAAATGACGTGCAACATCACGTGCTGCATCACCGATAACGACACATGAAACATCATGCCAAGGCATTCTTGGTGTAGTATTACGATCAATTGAATCTTGAAATGGCATATTTAGATGAGTAAAATCTTTGACAATAAAATTCGTATAATCTTTTCCGATCCATAGTTTAGCTGCACCTTCCAATTCATCACATGCAATATCAGTTTCATTTTGAATACGTGGTATACTTTGTTTGAAAAAATCCGGTGTAATCTCCACATTACTATCCTCATCCGTTGATATGATCGATCGTACTTCGGCTTGAGCTGTTCGTACATGGCGTCGAATTCGTTTTTTAATCCGCCGTAAACGTGCCATTGCACGTGTCTGTTTTGCACGTAATTTTCTGGTTATTCTGGTTTTAGAGAAAAAATTTCCTTTCGTCTGTTGTGATATGACTTTTCGTATTTGTTGTTCTTCATCTACTTCATCATAATCATTTTTGTTGATGATGTCGATGTTGTTGATGATGATCGATCAGCTTTTGTTGATTTGTATCATTTTCAATGAGAATCTCTTCAACATCAGCTACAGATCTTGTTTCAATGGAATCATCATCAATCACTCTAACTATTGGTAGTTCTTGTTTATCATCACCAATAGTATTTACATTACGTTTTTTTCGAATTTTACCACCACCACCACCACTAACAACTGCTTCTTTAGTGGGAGAACTATCATCAGCTGCTGCAATTGCATCAGCCAGAAATGGCTGTGATATCGAACGATACATTAGACCATTAGGTCTAGTTGAATTACGGATAAGGCTTGAAAAAAAATCATCATTTTTTTTAAATTGAAAAAAATTTAAATTCATTTTTTATATAACTTACTCATGTTGTTGTGCTTTGAAAAAAATTCCACCTTGATCAATGAGACGATGTTCAAAATTATCCCAACGACCAAAACAAAGATCAATACCACCAACGAATGCAACCTGTTGATCAATGATCACTAATTTTTCATGATGTGACCACAATAATGGTCCACCACGTACAGCATCTGGATGTCGTAATACGGCAATATTTTCATGCATTTTCATCAGTGTACGTTTCGTATAAATTGAACTGATACTGATTCCGATTTCCATTTCTTTATACAACAATATAAATATTCGTACACCTGAACAAGCTTTTTTCAATAATAACCGATCTAGACGCCAATCAAATCCAAGACTAGGACGTTGTAAATAAATTTCCGGCGATAACCACCAATCAGTGATGAAAATTTCTTCTTTTGCCATTTCCATAGCTTGGGATACTGCTTCGAAATATGCACAACCATCAACAAACCATTGGCTATAAATGGATTTTCGCACTGGTACAAATGAACCAAAACGATTACGTTGAACAAAATCTTTGGCATATATACGTGAATGTTCATTTAAATAATCGGCAACTTCTTTTGCACTTTTTGCTGAAAAACATTTCATTACTAGCTGTCTGGACATATTACGTATACGTAAACCGAATGTAATACCAGTTTCTTTGATACCAGCATCGGCATAAAAATCTGGATCAAATAACATTACATAACGAATTTTTTTATCTTTTGGTTCCAAATAAAATAGACAAGTATCTTTCACTACTAGCCATCGTTTACGCCAATGGCCAGTAAGATCGGTGAAAAAATTTTCAATACGAACACAGTATGTAGCTGAACGAAAACCACCGGCACGTTTTTTCACAAAAACTTCTTCACCTTTTAGTCCAAGTTCATCGATAAATGAATATGGGCTGATTGCCAGAAATGTTTGCAATGAAGGATGATGACGAAACAGTGAATGGCCAAGCAGAAAACGAAGATAATCTTCAAGAATTTTCTACAATTAGGCAGAAAAAAAGAGTTGAAAAAATTATTCTGAAAAAAAAATTTCACATACAATACGACGGCTTATCCCGTCGCCAATATAAAACATTTCAGGAAGAACAGGAAATTTTGGCCATTCAATTTCACCCATTCTTTCGAGAATTTTACGATTCTGTCTACTATTCTGTGTGGGTAATGGAATGGCCAATTTTGTATAGAACAGCCGGATTTGATTATGTAGTTGACGAAATTGATTGAAACGACGTTTAATAATCCAATTGAAATGTCCATGATTCAATTCAATGTGATAAATGTATGGTGAGAAAATGAATGATGTTTCTTCATAATTAATAATTTTAGCATCGATTGGTAAATCATCCAGATATACGCTATCAATTTTATCAGGAATAAATATCGTTTGATATGGTATTCGTGGTCGTTGTTTTGGTGGTGGTGGACGAATCGATGAAACATCCGTATAATCTATAGAAAAAAAAAACATTCGAATCGATTATCGATTGTTTTGAATGTTATCTTACCTTTTGATAATTTTGATTTTTCATGATTATTCTTTTTCTTTTTCACACCACGATTTTTCTTTTTATTCTTCGACATGTTCATCTTTGATTCATCATCATCATTGTTTTTATCGTCAATTTCGATTTCCATGATGATTTTGATTGATTTTGGATCAATCAAAATTCATTCGATTCTGTTGAAAATGATAGAAAAAAACCAACTATTGTGAAAAATATGTTTGAAAACATTTCATTTTGAACAGTATTGGTGAAGAGAGACAACAACAACAACAACAACAAAAATACAATTCGTACAAGGATTCCGTTAAAGATCATGACTGTATATTTTTTTTTCGTCTTGTCATTTTTATGAACTCGAATTCAATCTAGAATCCACACACACACACACACACACAAGTTATAATGCACTGAAAAAAAACCAACAACAATTTGAATCATCATCATGACTTTTGTAAAAAATACAACTAATTCGAATGCAACGAACCGAACAATCAACCGGATATAAAAAATCCGAACGAAAAAAAAACCAAAACGAATCAAGAATAAAAATCAACGATTTTGGAATTTAAAATAAACAAAAACATTCTACAGATATTGATGATGATGATGATGGCAACGTTTTGTGTTATGAAATCATCAATCAATGAAAAACACACCCGTTACTGCTCACCACCAAAATAACATCTTTATAGTGATCACAAACAACAACTATTTTTTAGATTTGCAGAAAAAAAACATGAAGAAAGAGAAAAATCGTACACTCTCAACAATGTGTAATGGAAACAAAACATTCGAAATTGAATCTACAAAAAAAAAAAAAAAATTCAAGCCACTGTAAAGAGAAAAAAAAACTTATCGATGATCATCATCATGATTAACCTTGGATAAATTCAATAAAATTTATCCTACTTGTACACGCATATACACACATCTTATATATTTGTTTATTGTATCATCATTTATCGTTTCTCACATATTCAAATCAAAAAATTTGGCCACCCACTTACTTTTTTTTCTAATGAAGGTAATGATCGATTGATTTTAACCAAAATGCATGCACAAAAAGCGAAAAAAATATAATCATCATCATTCATCAATTATATTGCAAATGATGACAATATTTGTGTGTGAACTTCATTTTTCAGGTCAAAAAAAAAAATGACAAACGCACCCGGCACTCATACAATGAGTTGAAAAAAATGACAAACAATCATTTACCCGATTCTTTTCACTTTTTTATTATAATTATCATCATTGATGATGATGATGATAATGGTAAAATTTAATGTTACATTTCTATTTGTTCGATTTTTTGATGAAAAAAATAATGACAATAATCACGAATACATAGACAATGAATAGAAAAAAAAATATTCGAAAAAAGAATACAACAAGAGATCTGGATCAAAATTTGTTTTTCGGTTTTCGTCTTTACTTTTTCGAATTTTAACTCTCAGCTGTTTTTTTGTTTTCAATAAAAAAAAAGAATATGACACCAGATGTCATTATTATTTAGCTACTTATTGATTCATTTACGGTACTATCATTTGACGATGATGATGGTATCTGCTGTTGTTGTTGTTGTTGTTGTTCATTATCATTCAAAATCAATGATAATGAAACTTTTTCCGGTCCATTCCACAATGAATGATAATTTCGACGTATAAAGGCAAGAATAAATAATGGAATCAATGTGAATGGTACAAGATATAAAAGGGCAGGTTGTGCAGCTCCTTCCATAAAGATTAAAGCTAAAAAATACAAATAGATCGTCTTAATCATCAACATCATTATCATCATTGAAAATAATTACCTGTGAATGTAACAATTAATCCTAGACAATATGAAATTAATGATATGGAAAAATAAAGATGATATGGAATGTTTTCAATACGATCAAATGCTGAACAATATGCTATCAACAAGCCTGGTATCATAACATCACCATATCCAAGCATTGAATCTGAACCACGTGTACAAACATCATAAAAATCCGTAGGATCATATTGGAATAGTTTCTGTGGTACCCGAAATAACATTGGTAATGTTTCCACTGGTGTACCTTCACAACGATATTCCATATAATTCATTGGTGAATTAGATGATGGTCCATTACCACCGGTGGCTACTTCAACCATTATCGATTGACCTGATTGAATTGTTCAAAATAATTTTTTTAAAAAAAGGGTGTAAGAAAAAAAAATTAAATCCGGAAACACTAACCTTTGGATGTAAACAATGGTGTAATGAAAACGAAAAAAATATCATATAAAAACAGGATGGACATTAAATATGTACAAATACGAAGTGATGGCAGCCGTAATGTTCGTAACATGTTGATGCAGAAAAAAAATCCCAATAAATCTTGTAAAAGCCATGCATTTTCCGATTCATGACGTATTGTGAACCAAAATGCTGGTATTATTATACTTATAATCGCTACAATCATATCCATAAATTTTAACCGTTGTTCTTGCCACCATAAACAGCTTGGTATCATAAATGTTGCCTGTAATAAACGTGATGGAAATGACCATTGTACGAATGATTCTAAACATATAAACATTGATGTCATCGATGTGATCAGAAATAATGCCAAAATGAAATATACAAGATATTTGTAGAAAAAATACAGCAATAATAATGCTGTTATCATACAGATGACCAATATTATAACTGAACATAGTGATATATTTGTAAATGCTTGTTCATTTTTATTTCTTGATGATGATGATGATGATCTTTTGACGACGATGATCGTATCTTGGAATTACTATCTTTTTCATCTGGAAAAAAAAATTCAAATAGTGGAATTAAGGTTATCAAACATTCGATTCGACTTACGACCACCACCACCACCATTATTAATGGGTAAAATATTTGGCAATGAACATTGATAGATTTCATAACGAACTCTGCCACTCCAATATGAACCAATAGATATTGTGATTAATGCAATTAAAAATATAAAAATCATCGGTATAAATGATATAACCGATGATTGTTGTTTCGATTGTTTTGGCCATCGTAATTGATTATAATTTTGTAGATTTATATTCCATAATTTATTCTTATTAATCACAGAAATGGTTAGATTATATTTTTCCATCAATTCAATGACACTAGAGACATTATCGATATATTTATTAGCCAATTATGGCATCCATATAGTTTACTTACTTGTTTGTAATATTAAAACGGGCAGTAATATTCACCTGGCAAGGTGTAACGAATAAAATTCCTGCAGGAAATTCATCATTTAATCCATTCATATATGGTAATAGAAAATTTTCCACTTGTTTACTAATAGAACAATCTATACGATAATCAAATGAATGATAACCACCACCAACACCATTGTTTTTATTAAAAATTTTTGGTATCAATCTTGATGATGATGATGAAAGTGGATCACAAAGATTATTCAACATATGATGTCGAAATGGTCTATATTCATCATTATCATTGATAATTGACTAGGAAAAAAATAATTAGACATTAAATCGAACAAATGGATATATAATAAACACCACTTACCAGATTCGATGAAGATGTAAACAGATCAATAGTACAAAGTGATTGTGTTTTTGAATAATCAGTAGAATTTCGAACGTTTAATACTTTGAATGTTCGATAAAGTATTTCTTTTTTTTGGCCATCAATATTTTCACTGTTTACCATTGAAATTATAATGAATAAAGATGGTAAAAACAAAGATGATAACGACGACGACGACGACGACATCATTATTGATTATATTATCAAATTTAAAAACAATAATAAAATGGGTGTTATTATCACTAGTTTTTGATAGTTGAATAATTTTTTTGTTTTGTTTTGATGAAAACAACATTTGATTCAATTAATGACGATGATGATATTTGCAAATCTAAATTAATCAAACAGTGAAAAAAAAAAATACAAATTGGATTGAAATAGAAATCGAACGTTTTCATTATTTCATATTTGAACCATATACCTTTTTTACCATTTGATTCAATTTGGTCAACACACATTGGTTAGATTTTGAATGAATGAATCAATGAATCAATCAATCAATCAATCGATGATTGGTGATGTGTAGCATCACATGTCACACATACACACACACACACAAAGCCGTTATTTTATTTTTCATCAGAGAAAAAAAAACAGGGTAAAAAAGGCCATTCTATTCTCTTTTTTTTTTGTTGCATGTAGATGTTTAAAGTGAAACAAAACAACAAAAAAAACGATGACGATGAAAATAACAACAAGCAAAAAAGTTGTATAGCAACAGGCAAAAGTAAATAGCAAACAAGACAACGACGACGACGACGACGACGTCATTCAGTGATAAAACTGAGAAAAAAAATTTTTTTTTTAATGATAAAATCGATAATCATGGATTATTATTAACAACCTAGAAATGATCTATAGAGTGAGTGTGTGTGTGTGTGTGGGTTGGGGATTTTTTTTTTGGATATATCACACATATACATCAAACAAAAACAAAAAAATCAGCCCACACACTATTTTTTTTTCTTTATTATTGTTGTTGAGTCAATTTATTATTTTTTTTTTTTTGTTTTGTTTGTTTGTTAAATGTTGACAATACACCAATAAAATAAACCAAAAGATTGCTAGAAAAATCAAACATCAACAGCAACAGCAATAAACAAAACACAAAACAAAACAAAAAAATTGGGCCATACAAAAATCGACTGTTCAAACACAACAAATGAATATTTTCGAAAAGTTTTTCCAATTCAGTATGGTAAAAAAAAAGTTTTCGGAATTTTTTTTTTTTTTTTTTTAGTTTGACGATAATCATAACCCTTTAGTAGCTATAACTAGCTATACCGGAACATTGTGATGATGATTTATGTGCATTTTTTTTTCTTTGATATTTTTCAACTCAAAAAAAAACATCTATTTTTTTTGAATTTTATCACCACAACACATTTGATAATTTACCAACACACAGTGTTGTTTGTGTGTGTGGTATGTTTGTACCAATGTCAGCTGCACCTAAGAAAAAGATGAAGAAGAAAAAAAATATGCAACAGACCATGATTGAGATGATATAAAATGAGTGTAAAAAAAAGACATTCATCATGATCATGATTAAATAAAAAAAACCAAATATTTTCTCATATTAGAATCTATCTCTCTCTCTCTCTTTTTTCTTCAGATCTTCAGGCTCTTTCATTGATCATCATCATCATCATTAACAACTATTTGTTCGGGAAATACGGTATTTTCTTTTTTTCTTCACGAAAAACCAACAATTTTACCATTGGTCGAACAACTGTGTTAGAAAAGAGAGAGAGAGAGAGAACATAGTAGTTAGACTTGTTTGTTTGCTTCAAAAAAAAAAAAGTTTGACCTAATAATAAAAAAAAGTGGTGGCGATGGAATGAACACACACACATTTTTTCATCATCATCATCATCATCTTCATTTTGTATCTTGAAATATTTATATAAAATTTAAAGTTCAATCATCAGAATGTTATTCATTCATTGAAAATTTTGACCACGACGACTTGTTTTGCTTCAAAACAAAACTTCATTTTATTGATTATTGATTTTCATCCATAAATAGTGTTTGTTGCTTGTTGTTAAAATGGCCACAATTTTCAATAATAATGTTGATTGTATAATTGAAATACTATCAAAATTATCATTAAATGATCGTGAACAATGTCGTCGAATATCACATTCATGGTATTGGTCTGCTAACCGATTGGCTTCAATACAACAAGAATTGTATATTATTGGCCATGATCGTCATCATCGTTGTCGAAAACATTCACATATTCCACAACGAAGAGAAAAAATTATCATTGATGATAATAATGGTGGATCAACAACAGAATTGAATACAATATATTGGCCATATCCATTTATACGTTATCAATGTTATTGTTTAATATTGAAACGTTTTCCAAATTTACGTACCATTGGTTTTGAATCAATAAATCATTGGAATGATCATATGATTGAAGAATTGATTATTAATTGTCCACATTTACATTCAATATCATTCATTCAATGTTATGGTGTTGGCCAAAGTCGTATGCATGAATCGAATCATATAAATCTAACATATAATGGTTGGCAAAGATTAATACATTCATATGGTCAACAAATTCATACATTGATACTCAAAGATTGTCAAATTGATGAACGTCAATTGGCCATCATTGTTGATGGATTTCGACAATTAATACGATTGGATATAACTGATAATCGTTTGGAACAGGCTACAGCATTGCGTAATTTATCGCCAACAATTCGATCACTTTCGTTGGGTAATCATTTTGGATCTGAAATGGCCATTCATGATTATCATAATGATATACATTATATACCATTATCATCGATTGTTTCTGGTTCTGGTTGTTATTCAATAACTGAATTATTTGTTCAAGGTTATCTTGACAATCAATTCCCACGGATTGTACAAATGAAACAATTACAACATTTAACCATACATTTTTGGCGTACATTATTCGATGAACATGATTCCATTCAATGTTTATCATCAATTCGTCATTTAAGCCAATTACAAAGTTTAGAAATCTATCATGTGAGTACATTATAGTGTATTGGTAGTTTTTTTTTTTTTATTTTTGTAGATCTTAATCATTGTACTTACATTGAATTTATCACAAAATTTTTTTTTCTCTTCATCAATTCCAGCATAATACACATGATACATCATTGGCAATGAATAAAGAATTGTTGGAAATATTACGTGGCTGTCCAAATCTTGAACGATTAGTTTTTGATTCAAAAAATGGATTCGAATGTCCATTCGATGATCGAATGTTTGAAAGAATGAAATTGTACTGTCCAAAAATGACATCATTAACCATAAATCCTGGTGATTTTTCCACCACTAATTGTTCATTACAAACATTGGCAACATTTCCTCATTTGAAACGATTAAAATTGATTGATTTTCCAGCAATAAATTCAGAAGGAATTTTATCATTACTAAAACAATCTCGTACAATAACCGATCTGATAATCCAAGATTGTTGTTATATTGATCGGCCAGAACAATTTATTCAATCAATCATCGATGATGTTCATCGTATTCAAGGTGATGGAATTTTTTTTTTAATTAAACAAATTCTAATGATTGATTTTGATTTGATTTACAATAGATAATAATCCATTACGTCGTCATTTAAATGTACGAATATCATCAACACAAACAATGTATCGATTTTTATCATCGAAACCAGAAATTCATTCAATAAAATTAGGTGGCCAAAATGGTGATTCATGTTTAACGATGATTACTATTTCACAGCCACCACAATCATCATCATCATCCGTATATTCATTATTTACAAATTCATCATCATCATCATCATCGTCGTCATCATCATCATCAATGGCAGCCAAATTTAACCAATCATCTAGATATCTGAAATATTTTGGTCAATTATTTTATTTATCGAATGAAAATTTTACTAGGACATTACTATCAATACCGGATATTGTATCGAATGGAATGAAAATTTTATCAACATTAACCATTATATCATTGGTTTTATTATGTATTTTTTACAATCAATATTTACCAATTATATGGATAGATCATTTTCCACCATTCCTTCATCATCATCATCATCGTCGTCGTCGCAGCAATCTTCACCACAACAATCATCATCATCATCATCATCATCATCATCGACATCGTTATTACAATCATCAGATTCAATAATGAACAAAATAATTTACATATCATCATTTTTGGCATCAATATCATTTTTATATCTATTAATACGTTGTATTTGTTTAGTTACATTTGAATCACATTCATTTTTATTGCATTTAACACAAGAATTATTTGAACAAATTCTATGAATTCGAATCGAATCATTTAGTTTTTGTATGCGGTTGTGTGTGTGTGTCTCTTTTTCCCTGTGATATAAAATCAAATCCAATATTTTTTTTGTCTGTACTTCATGTTTCTGTAATTTTAAATCAATTTTGAATAATTTCAATGAAAAATCATCATTTGATGTCATTAATAATTTATTTTAATCAATACACACCCACCCATCCAATTACAATTAATTAATTCCAATATATCCATTATCAGATTACGAAACAAGAGAGAGAGAGAGAGAGAGAGAAAGGGAAAAAGCTGAAATTTTTTTATTTTCTCCAAATAATTAATTGTCCATTATCAAGCATCATGTGAATTGTGATTAAAGCACGATGAAGAAGAAGAAGAAGAAAGAAGAAAATGAATTTATTCATTCATTCATTCATCATTAAGTGCGATTGTCGCCATTCATTTTCTCTTTTTTTTCTTGGAATTTTTTTCTTCTGAATTTATTTTTGTCTTTTTGTTTTTTTTTTTATTCAATTTTCATAACAAATTTTTTTTTTTTTAGCTTCACTTGATAATACGAGTTTTTGGACTATGAAAAAAAAACAAGTGCGTGACGTTTGTGAATGGCGTGCGCGCGCGCGCGTTTGTATGTTCAAACATGCATGCATGCATGCAATTCATGTACAAATTTGAAATGTGAAAAAATCTAAAGAGAGAGAGAGAGAGAGAGAGAGAGAGAGAGAGACGATTTTTTTTCTTCTTCTGAAATATAAATCCAAATATCTCAATTAAAACTTACGCATTCACCATTAATACGTTCGTTAGTTCGTGTTCATTCATTGGTGATAAAAGAGTTGATTCGACAAAATATCCCAAAACATTCGAAATGAAATTCAATTTCGGTACTAATTTAACATTGTTGAAACAGTCAAACTCAAAATAGACAAAAAAAAATCGAACGTTTTTGTTGTTGTTGTTGTTGTTCTTTACACTTTTAAATTCAATCGATCGATCACGATTCAATGCCAATGTTGATAAACATCATCATCATCATCATCGTCATCATTATCATGGCCATCAATTGATTGATGGATCAATAATAAATAATACAACGAAACAATAAAAAACAAGGGTTCGTATTTACAACAAAAAAAATTTGTATGTATGTGTGTTTACATAAAAAAGTAATTGGTGGCATTTTTTTTTCTTCTTCTTCGAATCATCATCATCATTGTTGTCGTCATTGTTTCCCTCCAACCCCTTTTCAATATCATTTAAAATTTCACTTTTTATTTCTCTCTCATTCATTCATTCATTCAAATTCATTTCACATTTGAATCATTTTGTAAATAGTAGCAGCAGCAGAAGCAACAACAACAACAACAACAAAAAACGACAAACTACACCATATATATCGTGATTTATTGTCCAATATCCAATATTATTATATTATTATTATAATGATCATGGTAAGTAAAGGGTGGGTGGTGCTCGTTTGATCATCATTTATTCAAAGACAATGACATTTTGTGAAATGAATGAAATCAATACTCATTTATTTATTTATTTATTTGGTATAAAATTTATCTAATTTTTTCTTTCTGTTTCATTTGTTGTTTGGTTTTTCCCCGTCGATGTTGTACAACAAACAGCAGCAGCAGCAACAACAAAAACCTTCAAACAATTGAATGAATTTCAATCAATTTAACAATTTGATTGGATTGATATCATCGTCATCATCATCATTGGTTGTTGTTGTTGTTGTTACCGGAAAAGCAGAAAAATATTAATTTCTTCCACATTTTTTTTTGTTTTCATTTGCAATCATTTTCATTGAATAATAATAATAATCGACAAGGACATCAATGATTATGCTTCATCGATTTTATTGTTATTATCAACATTATTCAATACCAAAAAATACCTGAAAAAAAGTTTCGTCTATTTTTCTCTCTCTCTCTATTAACTTTTTCTTCAACCAAAAACGCTGGTGAAAAAAAAACAAGACAATTGGAAAAAAACCAGCCAACAAACATAGTTATGGTTCATTCAAATTCGAATGTTTTTCATGGAAACGGAAAACGTCCTTCGTCTGTGACACGAATGTTGAATTGTTCAAAAATGTCATATTCCGATTGTGCACATTATTCTTATGAACGAAAATCAACAACAACAAAAATAATGACAATGATGATATTGAATCAAGATTGTCTTATATCAATATTTGAACATTTATCCATGATGGAACGATTAAAATGTCGTTCAGTTTGTCAACAATGGAAACAAGCGGTGGATAAAATGGCAATTGGAGAGAATTCATTAGAAATATATGCAGTACATCCATATTTAGCTATGGATGCACGACAAAAATCCGGATTGATTGATCAAGATGAACAAAATCAACAACAGCAATTAATTAATCAACAAAGAAGATTTAAACCATGGTTTATTGAATATATCATTTATCAATGGTCAAAATTTGGTGAAAATTTAATTTCAGTAGAACCGATTGAAAACATTTCCGATGATGATGATAATGATGATACGGACAGTGATGATAATGATCGGATTCAATTTAATGATATCATTAATTCAAAATCATATATATGGCCTTATTCATCACCATTTTCAACGAATTTTGAATCATCATCATTGCCTAATCTAAATGATATACTTTCATCACATTATTATTGGAATTATGCATTCTGTGCAACATCATCATTATTTTCAACATTTGTGGCAACAAAATCCAAAGAGATTACACATAAATTTTCACATTCATTCTGTCAATGTCGTTGTAAGAATCGTTTCAAATATTCAATCATTTTAGATCAACAATCATGTTGTTTAATGAAAATGAATAACTTGTTACAAAGATTTCCAAATATTCACCATTTACATATGAAAAATGTCAATGAACTAAATGATATAATATTGGCATTGATTACACAACATTGTCATCATTTACGACATTTAAGTTTTGTAAATTGTCAACAACAATTTTCTACAATAACAACGACAATTTTAACCGCAAATGATCATCACCAGCCGACACCACCACCACCACCACCATCACCATTATCAATACAACAACAGCAACAAAAAGATTCAAGTAACAATCAAAACAATGACAATAGCCTCAATGAACCTCAACAACAACAATGTGAACCATTTTTATCACTCAACAAAAATTGTCTCATAGGTATGTTTATTTTGTTTTTTTTCCCTCTTTCAAAATGTTGAGATTGATATATATTTGACTTGACGCATACATGTGTGTGTGTGTGTGTGTGTGTGTGTGTGTGATTATGACGTAATATGCATGTATGCATGCATGTATATCGATAGATAGATAGAAGTCAATTGCATTCGAATTATCTCAAAAAAAAAAAAAAAAATTACAGCCTTCAAAAAGCAACCAAAAATTTTCCATTTGTGTATAGATTGATTGTGTGTATGTGGTATATTCATTATAAGGATACACACTCATTCAGTATCTTGTCCTCATTTTTTTTTATCAAGTAAACAAAAACAGCAAAAAAAACAATCATTTCCGTAATCCTATATGTAAATGAATGTCAATCTATAATGGTTGCTAATTTATGATGTGATGATTGATTTCATATATAATCGAAATGAAACCAAATCGATTTGAATGAACGAGAAAGTGTGTTTCCTATATGTGAAAACCATGGCCGACATATAATTGAAATGATTTTTTTTTCTTTGTCTATGTTCTAGATTATGGCTGGAAATTATTGAACCGAACATATCCATCATTGCAATCGCTAACATTACGACAATGTCATTTGAATGAACGACAATTGACCAATGTGATACAATATTGTTCTTCGGTTAGCTATTTGGATATTTCCGATAATAAAAGGTTGGGCAAATCGGTTCGTTATTTGGGGGCAAATATCGAATGTCTAATATGTGGTAATCTAGCTGAAGGTGAATCAATTGAAACTATTCTAGCAAATGTTGCATTTGGCTATGGAAGAAATGTTCGTTTTCTTTCCGTTTTTGGCCCACTTGGTTCATTGAAAGTTTTTCAAGAATTCAACCGACTCACTGAATTGGAATTGCATTTTCATACTGATGATGATCAAACAACATGGCTATCGGATATTGGCCTGCTATCACTGAATAGTCTTGTATTGGAACAGATTCGTAGCTATGAAAGTCCATCGACATTAAATCATCAGCAATTTGAACAAATGTTGAGACGATCAAAAAATCTACAACGATTACAGATAATTGGTGATTTTGATTGGAATCTACGTCTCAATGATCTATCATTACGATCGTTGAATGAACAATGCCCAAAGCTCAAAGAGCTCACATTGATCGGTATGTAATAGTTTCATGAATCCACTGGAAATTCTAAAATTCCTGTTCATTTATAGGAAATGGATCCATCACCGATTATGGTCTGTTGAATCTTCGTCACATTCCATTGACACTGCTAAGTCTGGCATCATTTAATTCGATAACCGATTATTCAGTGACAACATTGATTCGACAAATACCAACATTAAAAACAATCATATTGGTCGATATGCCACATACAACTAATCGTGTTATTGATAAAACTATTGATATTTGTAATGAACAACCAGATCGAATCGTGGATTTAACATTCAGTGATGAACGAATACATCGTCGTATTGAAAAACAAACTAATGATGATGATGATAATAATCGATATCCATCGAATCTACATATTCATTTCGATAGTCATATCTGTGGTAAACAAGTAATTGATTCAGAACCAAGTGATTTACAAATGATGATAGTCATTTTAATTTCAACATTAATATTAGCCATGACATTATTGACGACAATTGTTGTAATTCTTGTTCCATTATCAATGTTATTAATCATGTCTAATGAATATATTGGCCAAAATTGGCTATCAGTTGTCGATTTAGAAATATTTCGCCGTTTTCTATCAGAATATCATCAAAATCGAAGCTGATGTAATAATAATAATAATAATAATCATTTTATTTTATTGTGATAAATTCGATATTCATCGATTTTTTTCAAAATTGTGATTAAAAACTACAAAATCAGCCCATCATTTCACCAAGAGCTCGAATAAACCATCACGAGTTGATGGATGAAGCTTTGTTTGCTTCAATCGCTTCTTTAACGAATACCAAATGGGCTCATATCTGGGATTTGCGTAACCCACTCCAATTTTTTGATTTTGGACGTTTTAATCCATTCTTGTGACTTTTTCGCCATATGGCATGGCGCTCCATCTTCCTGGGACAAGAAGTTCCTTTTTGTAACTTTATTTTTTTTTATCACGGAAGATGGGAAATAGTGTGGATTTCAGAATATTGATATATTGCTCACTATTCACTCTATTGGAGCAGAGTCTTAACTCTGATCTCCCAATATGCCTATTTTCAAGAAATAATTATTAAAACATGCAAAAAAAAAAAAAAATCTTACCATATAGCCCCCCAAACCATTGTTGTGCTTAACCGTGGCTTGAAGCCTCTTGGCTTGGTATGCCTGATTCTTCTTGCGATATACGAATGTGCGATAAGCATCGTTAAATTGGGAAAATCGACATTCGTCGGAAAAAATTACTTTTTTCCAATAATCAACTGGCATTTCAGCCATTTTATTGGCCCATAAACGACGCTTGTTTTTTGATGATTTAAAATTAAAAAAAAATGGACGATGATGAAGCAATGAATGATGGAATGAAATGAAATGGAATGAAAAATGAAATGAGATGAAAATAGTTCGAATTCAATTTGAAAATCGAATTTGGAATCAAAATCATCAAATACATACTCACAAAGGCACACAAAATGAAAACCACGTGTGTCGTCACTATCTAAATTCGAAAAATCGGAATTCGAACTCTTTCTATGTTCTATTGAATGACTGCACCATCTATTGGATGCAAAAGCTGCAACAAGCTTTAGATAGATAGAATATAGATAAATGTCATATATTTATTAATTGTAGGAATCATCAAATTTATTAATTATAAAACTTTTTTCAAAAAAAAATTAATTAAAAATTAATTGGATAATTGATTTAAAGTTCAATATTGTTGGATGTCTTGAAAATATTATTACAATGATCGAAACGAAGTGCAAAAATAAAAAACATAAATGTCAATGATATGACCATTGTAACGGCATACAATGCAATTGCCCATGGTCGTCGTTGATTGATGACATTGATATTGTTACTATAAGCAAATGCACTGATGCATTTATCTTCTTTCAGTAATGTGGATTTATTATCGCTGGCCAGCAATAATTCGGCTTTAAATGATTTTGGATTACGGCGTGCATTTCGGAACCAAAGTATCAACCAAACAGCGATCGATACGATATGAATCAATCGGATTAAGCCCAACATATAATCAATAAAACCATGTAAATGCATCGGTGGTGTCAGTTGTTCAATCCATGGTTGCATAACATATGAATCGAATGGAAAGAATAAAAGACAACGTGATGATTCCACTAATGGTCCAATCGATCTGTAAATAATAGATTGTGATTAGATTCACTGATCAATGAAAAAAATTTGATTCAATGTAATTACCGTCGATCAAATATGGTGCCAAATGATGTCAATGCAAATAGTACATAAAACATGATGATCATTGCATTCAGCGGTGAATTACGGACCAATGGATGATCGGTGATAATATAGAAACCCATTGCAATGATAAAACTATGCAACATAACATAGAATGATTCCCAGAATGATATTTCACAATCATAACGTTCAATTGGTGCATGAATATCAACAGGTGGAATATCGGACAATAATCCAGTTCGTGGTTTTCCTATGTTCAAAACAAATTGAATCGAATCATCATTATATTATTAAATGGACATGACAAGTGAAAATAGAGAAAACACATACCTGGTGCCCATCCTGGTCCATAGAATAATGCTTTCATTTTATCACCAAATGAATTCATTGATTTGAATTTTTTCCATACAGAATCATAATAATAATAGAAATGCAATGTAATCGTATCGAATGTTTCATATGGTTTTTCTGTGGTGCCAAAAACAATTTTTTCTTCTTCAGCTTGATAGGTGCCGAATATGCGATCAAAAACCATCAATAGTGCACCATAATTTTTATCAATACACCATGGATTTTTACCATGATGTACACGATGTTGTCGTGGTGTATTGATAATGTATTCGATTGGACCTAAATGTGATACAACTTCGGTATGGAGCCAAACTTGATAGATCAATGAAAATTGCATATGTACCAATAGGATTGGTGGCGGTACAAACAATGCCAATGGTGTTGGGAAAAACTATAAACGAACAAAAAAATGAAACATTATGGATCAATCAATCAATCGATCAATGAATGTAGATACCTCATAGATGACCAAATCAACAACTGTATCACGTAATGTAACAGAAACATCAACTTCAACGGCATTATGATGAAATTGATGGCTTGCCCAGAATATATTAATTTCATGTAATGAACGATGTACCCAATAGTAGACAAATTCTACCGATAATAATGATATGAACCATGTGGATACACAATTTTTGGGCAAATCAACGATACGATAATTATCATAAAGAAAATAAAATAATTTCATCACCACACCCAATAATGCTACACGGACGGCTACAAATATGAGACCAGCACCAATATTGACGATTACATCGCTTAAACGTGAAAAACGTTTACGTTGCATTAGACGTATCATTTGTTCAATAATGACCAATACACCAAATATTGGAAATATCTAAACCAAATTTAATTGAAAATTGAATATATAATATATGGAAACACTTACCTGCACTTCATAATTGGGAACATCATCAACATTCATAAATATCGATGAATTTGGTTTAACATAATAAAACATCCATCCAAGTTGTTCAACAAGACCTTGTGCCATAAGCGATGTACAATGATGAAATGCATCAGTATGATCGTTAGTGGTGGTTATATTATTATGATTAACAGCTGCAATTGGTGCCGGTATTGAACCGATAATTGAATCACTGTTGGATGATGATGGCGGTACAACCATGATTGATTTGATTTTTATTTATTGACGGAACAAGTACGGATATAGAAATTTCTTGAAAAAAAGAAGCTGAAATGGAGTGAGAGAGAGAGAGAAAAAAAAAATTTAGTGAAAAAATTTCCAGAATTTTCAAAAGTGTATCATGTTTGGTCACATAATTGGGTATTTATCGTTGGAATCAGAAAAAAAAACAGAAAAAAAAATTGATTGGTCAGCAATCCACAATAACTAACGAATGAATGAAGACAACAAAACACAAAAAAAGTGATCAAAGTTTGCAATGTGTTTTTATATAACCTAGTAAACAAGAAACAAGTTTCAATGGCAAAGAAATTGATGATGATCATTGATCATGATTCAAGATCAAGATCGATAAATAACACTGAGAGAGAGAGAGCGAGGATAGTTCACATTATGTGGACAGGCTCTCTTTTTAACACTGATGTAATTAATGTGCAGTGGCTAATTAATGAACAAAACAAAAAGGGAATCAACAAGTTTTTTTTTTGGAACAAAAAAAAATTTGGAACACCACTTTCATCATGGAGATGATCGTGGATCATTTTTTTTTTTTTTTTGATTTTGATTTCGCAAGAGAGAAATTGATCGACTGACTGACTGAAATGAAATATTACCATGTTCCAAATTTTTTTTTGTTTTGTTTTTGACACACAAAAAAAACAAAATTCCAAACATGCAACATAAAAAAAATTACACTTACCGGACATGCACACACACACTATGATGAATGCTTACAGAATATCCGTGTATATGAAAACAGAATTCCGACGATAATATTCGTTGGGTAGAATATATTGGAATAAAAAAAAAAATTCACAGATTTAAAACAACAATGTCAAAATAAAGACAGACCAATAATGATTCGATGATTCGATGGTCAATGGGTATTTATTGGTCACCGTCACCACTATCAGCAGCAGCAGCAGCAGCAGTAGCAATAAACCACGAACGAATTAATATTTGCCATGGGTCAAGTTTTTTTTTCTGCTCTGTAATAGTATAGAGGGATGGTGTTGATAATCTTTGACCATTTAGTTGGCAAAAATAGAGTTAAACATAAGCTGATTAGTGATTATTACTACAGCACACACACACACATACTAACACCAGTGAAAACTACAATATGTTCGCATTATGATATTGAACACACACGTTTTTTCGTATTTAATTTTTCTTATCAGCAACATTTTTTCTTTTGTGTGTGTGTGTCATAGGTCGAATCACGTACACACACACACACACACACACACTACTCATCAAACGATTGATGATCATGATTTCCATCGAACAAACGAACAACAAAAGCACACACACACCCAAAAATTATTTTCCTTTTTCATTTTTTAATTAAAACAACTTAAGATTATAATTTATAAACTTGTTTCTCTAATAAAAAAAAATTCGATGATGATGATCAGATTGATCAGATGATCCCTAGGATTTTGATTTTGATCGTTATTTTTTTTATTCTCCATTTAATATTAGTCAAGGTCCTTGGATTATAGATGGATAAAAATTCATCATCACTAGGATTATTATATTATTACAAAAGTTCAAGTACAAATCAAGCCTAAAGGCAAATGTGAAAAATGAAAAAAATCATTTGATAATCAGATGATTTCAATGATGATTATGGTGATCAAAATAAATGAAAATAAAAAACAAACAACAGCTCAATCCATATTCACCACCATCATCATTTGATGGCCATCTGATCATGATGATCTGTTTGACCGGATCATCATCAGACATAAATATGTGGAGAGCCACCTGATCATCATCTTGTTCATTCGATGTCGCTGTTTGTCTTTATTTCTCCATACTGTCCTGGATCGATAATCATCATCATCATCAATGATGATATTGAATTTTGGTATAAAAAAAATTTGAAAATCCATGATGACCTTGAACATGTGTGTGTGGGGTTATTCTTCGATATCGAACAAGCAAAATGTTTTTTTTCCAGGGCCAATAAATCCTTTTTTTTGCATTTTTGTTTGACCACATATCGTTTATTGTCAAACAAAATCTTTGTTTTGTTGTACATTTCGTTTTTTTCGGATCATACACACACACACACACAAGATTTAAAAAAAATGTACGATACACACGATATGAAATGTGTCAATACAAGATCAATGTCACGTTGTCCGTTGTCAATCTTTCAGTTCGAGTGGTGATTTTTTTTATTTTTTTTTTTTTCATACTTTTTTCCATTCGTCGATATGAATCATAATGTCCTACATATATACAAAGTATGATTACGATGATGATGATGATAATATAAAAAATTTTTCTATTTTATTTATTTATATATCAAAGGAATATATATTTACATTAAGTTGAATAGCATTACAATGAATCTAAAATTACAATTATAAATATGGGTGAGGGAATTGTTATGATTTCGTAAAATCATAACAATACCGAAAATGGAAATCAAAATCAAAATGATCGATTAAACATCCGATCATCAAAGGATGTAGTGAACATATATGAAAATTGAATTTTAATAAATGTAAAACATCTTGTCATGACTGTAACAAATGACAAAAATTACCAAAATGATGGTAATGTGGCATTTGAACATCCGAATATGTAAAACAAAACAAATTGTAATTTTGAATTTATTATATAAGCTAATCCAAAATGAATAATAAAACACGATAATTATTGTTGGTGAATTTGAGTGAGAACTGCAATATTGATTTATTTGCGATAAATATAATAATAATAATTATATATATGATAGGATTTATCCTGTACATTCCTGAGAGCTACTCAGATCAATCCTTACGCTCTCCATGGTCCTCTTCAGCACCTGACCATGGATGTATGCTTGGATCTTCTCTGTCAACCCCAGGCTCTCAGCATACTTCCTGAAGTGTCTCGTGACCAGACCATCCCACGTTAGTACAATCGGTACTGTGGTCACTTTACTGCCATACATCGACTTCAATTCGTTGGCCAGCAGTTCATATTTTCGACGTTTCGTCGATTCTGTATTCGGGATGATCCTCTTGTTGGTTATTCCTACTTCCACTAGCATTATCTCGTTCGTTTTCATGTCATGGACCATCAAGTCTGGTTTGTTATTGGACATCATCATGACGCTTTTTGTAATCAAAATTTAGCATTCCGCCACAATTAGTTGCTAAATGTTCCACACTCATTGTGCCTCTTCGGCAATTCGGGCATCTGATCCGGTTATAGAACACATTTCGATCTTGTAGCTTGCAAGCCATTGCTTCCTCTTGCGGGGATATATTGCCTTTTCTAAGCCACAAGGATGATTGTTTTGTATCAATATGTCCATCTTCATTTTCATATAATATTCGATGCATATTCTTTTCCATGATTCGGTTCAATGATAATATAATAATATTAATAATATTTTATTTTAATTTGTCCCCTAGAACTAGTCGGGAACAACTAGGGGAAAATGAATTTGCACAAAATGAAATCAAAAAATAAGTAAGAAGAGAAAGAAGAAAAAAAAATGACAAGATGAACAAATGAAAAGAGAAAAAAGAAAAGAGAAATAAAAGGAAGAAACAAAGAAAAGAAAAGAAAAGAAAAAAAATTTGCATTACAAAGCTCAGGTAAGGTAATTCTTTTGGTGATATGATGATGATGATGGAACAGGATGATATTTTAAATCAAAGTTGTTTCCATCTTCTGGCAACAGGTGGCGACATGTGGTCCATTTTTTTATTTAGCAAAAAAAAAAAAATTTCAAAATTGACCATTTCTTCTTTCCATTGGTTTACTGTTGTACATCATGCATCGTTGATTTTTCCATTTCGATTCGAGATTGAATTGTTTACACACACAAACAAAAACAAAAACAAAAACAAAAATTCAAGGATAATGATTTACAACCAGCCAACAACATTTAATAATAATTATATATGATAAAAAACCAGTGAACCAGGACCAAAAAAAAAAAAAAAAGAATACAAATAGGATGCCCAAAAATGGAACCAACAAAAAAAAAGAAACAGGTGAATGTGGAAAACATCGATACAATCGTCCATCCACAATATATCGATAGTATTTCGAATAATTTGAATTCGAATAAAAATCATTTGATTGATTTGTAAACTTTTCACTTTTTGTTTTTTTTTTTTTTTGTTTCTCAACGAAAATTGAAAACAAATATCAAGATAATTTCAAACTTACACTTGACATTTCTTATTATTATTTTTTTTCTTCATCCAAATAACATTTATTTTGACGCAATATCCTGGTCAAACAAAACAAATGAACAACAACAACAACGACAACAGAAATCCTTTCGTTTATTGTTTCAAGTTTATTTGACAAAGAAATTTTCACACTTTGTTGAACAAACAATGTTATTTTCTCAAATGAAAAATTTACCTAAATATTTTTTTTTGGTGTTCACCATGTCACCACCATTTCATTGTCATTCTTTATTCGACTTGGATCGATCTGGAGCTTTACTGGATCTATATACTACAGCCATTCATTCATTCATTCATTCATCATGAATGCCAATAATAATGGTTTTTTCTATCGATTCTATCTAATGTTATATTTTCAATTTCAATCTATAATTGAATCACAAGCAAATTTCCTGAACAATATCGGTGTATATCGACGAAGACGTGCAAAAATTCCCGATGAACAAAAATTAACTGGCCATACAGTGGTGATTACTGGTGCAAATTCCGGTATCGGTTTACAAACAGCTCGTGTTTTTGCACGTTTAGATGCAAATGTTTTTATGCTCTGTCGTGATCTTGATAAAGCTCGTAGTGTTCGTAAAGAAATTTTGGATGAACTTCAACAGATAAACAATGATGATGATGATGATGATGAACGAATCAAAAATCAGATAAAATTGATACAATTAGATTTATCATCATTGGAATCAGTACGAAAATGTGCTGAAGAAATCAATCGTAATGTTGATAAAATTGATTATTTAATCAACAATGCTGGTATTATGATGTGTCCAGAATCCAAAACAGTGGATGGATTTGAATCACAATTTGCAACGAATCATCTTGGCCATTTTTACTTACTAATCTTTTGATGGATAAGATTCGTCGATCATCATCGGCAAGAATTATCAATTTATCATCAATTGCACATATACCCGGTACGATTCATTTTGATAATATCAATCTAGATGGTGGCCATTATACACCATTGAAAGCATATGCACAAAGTAAATTGGCAAATATTCTGTTTACCATTGAATTGGCAAGAAAATTTTGTGATACAAATATTCGTACTTATGCTGTACATCCAGGCTTGGTCAATACTGAACTTGGTCGTCATCTTAATGGTTTGGCATTATGTTTACTTAATTTTTTTCGTCGTATGATTCTAATCACTCCTGAATTGGGTGCACAAACCACATTACATTGTGCATTCGATTCAAATATTAACGCTGATTCTGGTGGCTATTTTGCGTAAGTATTGATTTTTTATGCTGAAAAATTTCTCGCAAAATTTAATTTTTTATTCCAAAAAAACAAAGAAATTGCCGCCGAATCAAAAATATGGTGAAAAATGCAACAAACAACAACAATGATGCTGAACGTCTTTGGCAATTAAGCTGTAAAATGTGTGGAATTGAAAATTTCAAATGATCCATCTGGATCTAAATAGCAAATATCGAACCGGTGGTTCACAAACACATATTCGATTTTTCATTTTGTTTATTTAGTTGTTAATTTATTCTTTATTTTATTTTATCTGAAACAAAAAGTTTATCAATGAAATATTTGTTTTGTTGTTGTTGTTGTTGTTGTAAAAAAAATGTCATACAAGTTCAACAACAAAAGTGAAGAAAAAAAAACAAATTCAAATTACACACTATGGTTGATTGATTATTGTTTGAGGTAAAATTATATATGTCCTATATATATGTTTTGTTTTATGTTTTTTTATATTTCATTAGATTATCATATAATTCATCACAATCTGTTTGTTTAACACGAATTAAAAATGTTACCGTTTGTTTATCAACATCAGCATCATCCACTGAATCATTATTATCATTGTTTTTCTTCTTTTTCTTATTGTTGATCATTTCTAATAATGGTGGATTCGGTACACAAGTAATAAGAACACCTTTTCCTTTATCGGCTTTACTTATTGGTAATGAATCAATCAATGCAATATTCAATAAAATTGTTCCCATATTTGTATCGGCACGAATCAATAATTGTGATTTACTACCACCACTACTGCCATCATCATCATCTTCAGTATTTTTCGGTGTTTTTATGTAAAGAAAACCCAATCCTTTTTCAACAAAATTATCATTTTTTTTATAGTACAATTTACACCTGCCCGATTAACACAAAAACAACAAATCAATTAATTCAGTCACAAAACGCCACCACCACTTACTTTTTCGTATAAACAGCATCATCTTCATTATGTTCAAATGATTGAACTTTAGGTGGATGTTCGCCATCACCATCATCGCCAGTAGTTTCAGTATTAGAATCTTCCACTTTTTTCACATTACTATCACCGAATGATGGAAATGATGTTGAAATCGGATTTGGAAATGTAGTTGGAAATGATAGTTTCGGTTGTTGATCACCATCATTTTTGTTACCGAATGTTTTTATGGAATCAAATTTTAATGATGAAAATCCTGTATTATTACCACCACTTTGTTTTCCATCATTATCATCTTTAACAGAAGAATTATCCGTTTTAATACCAAACGAAAATAGCTCACTATTTTGATTTGATTTCTTTGTCAATGTCGTAGCGGCTGATGATTGTGATGATGATGACAATGATGGTATTGTAAATGATGATGATTTCATGGTTGACTGAGAATCCAATTTTTCATTGGAAACCATTTTTTGATTATTATCACCTTTTTTAATGCCAACATTTTTATTATCCTTTTCTGTATTTTCTGCAGATGTTTGCCGTTTTGTATCTGATTCCAACAATGACGATGATGATGACATTTCACGAAGTTTTTTACATTTTGCAATATATTCTTCACAAACTAATGTAAAATCATAGATTGATCTATATATACATTTGATGATGATATATATGAAACATAAATAGAAACAAACAAACAAAAATATGAAGAAATGTTTACTCACTTTGGATTCGATGTATATTGAGAAATGTGTTCAACAAAACTTTCATTCAATTTATTCAAATTTGCCAAGAAAATTTCCGATTCTTTATCATCATTATCAGGATGGCCATTACTACCACCACTATTACTATTACTATCGGTGCCAGTTGTGGTGGTCATTTTCATTTCAGTTGATGATTTAGTGGTCAATGGAATGGTATTCATATTATTACCATTTTGTTTTGTACCAAATCCGTCTTTAGATCCAAATGAAAATGTTGAATTTTTTGTATCAGATTGAGTGATGGTGGTTGTTGCAGTAGCAGCAGCAGTGGTTGTTGTTGTTCCAAAATTGAATGTAAAATTTGATGATGATGATTTTGTATCACCACCAAATGATGTGAAACCTGATTGTTTGAAGTTAATTTTATTATCCAATAATTTTTATTAGGAATGTATATTTATTTATTATACCTTTAAATCCACTAAATACATTCGAAGTTGCCAACGATGATGATGATGATGAATCTAAATTTCTTCGTTTAGCTTTAATTAATACACGATTTTTCAATACTTCTTGAGTGGCCGTTTGTTTTTCATCATCAATTGATGATGATGATGGACAATGATCATGATCATCATCATCATCATTATTATAATTATCTTTAGTCAATTGATATTCAGATGTTCGTTTGGACATTATTTTACAACAATCAATCACAAACAGAGAAACAAAAAAAATTTTTGGGCAATTTATATATCAAAAAAAATGGAGATGAACAAAAACAAATTTCAACACTTTGTGATGAACAACTCAAATCATCATCAATATTACAATCTCTATAGAGTGAACCTAATTATATAACTTTCTTCGTGGGATTTCGATTTTTTTTTTTTGGTTGAACAACAGAAAAAAAACGTTGTGAATCAGTGTTGTCGTCCCAATATATTCAATAAAAATGCCGGCGCTTACACGCACAAACACACACACACACGCGTTATATTTGGAAAAGACAGAAGACATGAAAAAATGCCTGTCTTTTTTTCTTTCTTTCTTTGGCCTCGATTTTTTGATTTTGATGGTTGGATGTTGCTGCTTGTGCAAGCCATGCATATTTTTTTTTTATTATAAAAAAAGCCTTGTCCTGTTCATAAACAATGTATTTTACCCTGTTTTCTCAATTATGTACTAATGGATTTGTTGTTTGCTTTGAATGATAATCTAGCTGTTCATATAATACATAATAATGTTATGCGTGAAAAGAATCCAGGAATCTAAATTCTTGTGATAATAGGGTAGAACTTTTTTTTTTTTGGCATTTGTTTTTTTTCATTTTTCTCTTTTTTTCATATTTGACACATGTTAGTGGCGGTTTATTTTTATTTTTACAAATCTTATTAGCTTAAATTCAATTCGATTCGATTTGTCATTCATCATCAAACAAAATATGGTCATATCGTTGGATAATGAAATCTCGCCATATGAACCGTTTGGTCGTTCAATTATCGAATCGATACCGAATCCAAATTTAACATCACGTCAATCAAAATCTGATCGAAATAATTCATATGATGATAATCTAGTGTCCGATAATGGTGAAAATTTTGCCTTTAACAATGATTTTATTACTGCCGAATTAGATCAATGTAGAGATTTATTTCGATCAATCAATGAAATCTATGATGGTTCATCATCCAAAACGGCCACAAATATAACGGATCGATTTCCAATGGTGAGTTTTTCAGTAATAAATTTCATCCAAAAATTAATAGATTCGAAAATTAATTAGACTGATTTTTGGCGGCTACGAAAAACGACCAAAGGTGAAGAGGAAATCTATGTCAATTTAAATTCATTGATTCTAAGCCATCGTCCATCGAATAATAATGGACAATCATTTTTGGATAAATCATTAACATTACCGGATAATATTATCGATGCTTTATGGTGTGATTTCACAATCACCGACGATAATAATCTAGCCATGTCGGCATCGATTGGTAATGATCATCAACATCATCATTACAGTAGAAAAAGGATGAAAATACTGAAAACATTATGCATATTGGATGAGCATTATCGTTTACATATCCTATCAGATAATGGTGATTATTATCAAAAACATTTACCATTTCGTGTGGGAAAAATGGTGGCCACTATTGATCATGGTCTTTTATTCGAAAGAATAATTGGTTCAGAATCTCGAGAAATGCCAGATTTTCCTGCCATTTATTCATTATCAAATCCATTGAATGATTTATCACCAGTTTTGATGATCATGCCCAAATCATCATCATCATCATCATCAACAGCACAATCTTTTTCGAATCAGCAACTAAAACTAATCAATATTATTGTGGAAAAAAATTTAGCCATTTTTTATTGTTCCCATAATAATTGTCATCAAATATATCAATTTCGTTCAGTAAAAGATAGGGATATTCATCAATTATTTCTACATCATCATTATCAACAGCAGCAACAACAACAACAAAATTATTTGAATATTTCGAATAATCAAAAATCTGTTGATAATAATAATCATATGATGGTAACACCGGAAAATCCTTGTAAAAGGCAACAGCAATTTACTAATTTTGGTATTACATCATCAATAAGTCGATCATTAAGTAATAATCTTATACAACAAATGGTACAAAAACAAGGTTCATCCACATCATTAACAACAACATCGGGTGGACTTTTACATCATCATCATCATCATCATCATAATAATCGAAATTCATCATCACCACTTTCAACACAATATCATTCACCATTACGTCATTCATCATCTTTAATGCACCATCACCACAATCTTAATAAAATGGATGTAATAGATATACCACGTACAACATCACCATCTGTATTAATGTCAAATCTAATAACGAGTCGTATGGATTCACCAACATCACCAAATCCATTAAATATTTATCATACAACAAATCCACGATTAACTGATCTAGATATTGAGATGTATCTAGATTCAAGCCGTAATACAACATTGATGATTGATTCACCAAATTTAAATAGAATTTTTCAACCAAATTCTCCATTGAATATGACCAATCAATCATTGGCAGCACAATCCTCACCGTCATCATCACTGATAGTGAATATGAATGGAACGATATCATCATCGATCAATACAAGTCGAACTATTGATCAATCGCCATCAACTATTGAAAGATCATCAGCTAGATTTTTGCCAAATGAATTTGAATTGGCTATGGAACATATTTGGTCCGAAACATCGATCCATCAGAATCATCAAACACAATCATCACATTCGATGGCAACAAAAGTTTTCATTACAAGGGATTTTCTTGGCCAAAATTATCTTGGTTTAGTCATCAATACAAATAATCGATCCAATGTTAATCTGATGTTATCATCATCGGATTCTGCAATAAATAATAATTCATCAATATTGAAACTTATACGATTTGATCAGGCTTCAACAACCAATGAAGACTCAACAAATAACAACAGTGATGAAAAAATGAAATTTAAATACATTTTTACAGCAACTAAAATATTTACAGTTAAAGATGCACAGCCATTACCATCATTAAGTATGATCATTGTTGTTGATGAGACCAATACATTGATATTATATAGTGGTGTTTTTAAAGTTGCCATCATACATTTACAACAACCCACAATGTCATATCTAATGTTACAATCATCATTTCCAATGGAATCTTCATCATCATCAACAACAACACCTGCAAAATTATCATCATGTCATATTAGCACTACCAATGCAACAACATTATTAAGAAATTCATTAAAATTTCAAACACCAACAACAAGTCCATTAATTGTAAATACTAATAATTTTACACCAGAATTAAGTGAATTATTGGAATTTTCACCACCATCATCATCTACAAATAACATTACTGGTCAAACATCTCGTCTTTTGCACTCATCACCATTTGATTATTCCACACAACAACAACAGCAGCAACAGCAACACCAGAATCATCATTCACAAAAAATTTCAAGCGATTTTGTTTTCATTCAACCACAATGTCCAGGACAATTTGGTAAAATTATTGGACTTTGTGATTCGATTGATAATCGTGTTACAATTGTTCAACGATCATCATCAGCTAAAGACAAAGATGATTACCGTTTATATCGTCTATCATTTCCATTAATGGCATCCACATTTTTAGTTGATAAATGTTTAGCCGCTTTACGTCAATTATTACCAAAAGATCAGATTATACATCTATTAGCAGCATGGTATACATATCGTAATTCAACAAATAATGAAGAAGATATACCGGAATGTATCCTATTCAAACTTTGTCTATTTTCATCCATTGGTTTCGATAAAGAACGTTTGAAACAATATTATCATTGTAAAAATGAAATCATATGTTCATCATCGACAATGATGGCAAATTCAAATCTTACATTTAATCTTAGCACATTCAATGATGACCAACAACGTTCGAGTAGTAATAATGATTTATCACGAATGGAAAGTAGTAAAAAAATTCGTATCGATAATGATATTGATAATAATGGTAATGATGATGATTTCTATCAATTAATGGCTGAAAATAATATCGATTGGATTGATAGACCACCACCATCATCATCATCATCATCAGCATCCATATTAAATAAACAACAATCATCATCGTTATTATTATCATTAAAATCTGAACATTTTACCTGTCCAGGATTTTTATATCCATATACAGCACATATATTGTATTCATTACATCTTGTATATGAAGATTTGAAATTAGTTGAAATGAATTGGCCCTTATGTCGATCATTAGTGGATCTATTATATTTATTAGCCGCAAATCTCAATCTATCCGCTTATTTGGATCATTATTATCGAGATTTTTCAGAAATTTGTATGGAAATATCATCTGATTCTAATCAACAATTTAAACAACATACAGATAGAATTATTTATCCACCATATTTTTGTACACGACCACCATCTGTTTATAATACATTGTATACATTGTTGAATAATGAAGAAGATCAAACTACTACATCTGCTGCTGCATCAACATCAATATTATTTCCATATCTTGGATCGGCAACAAAATTATCACCAAAATCATCAACAACAACAATGATTGGTGAAAATTCAAATGTAGTAACACCAAATATATTCAATATGATATTGTTATATTCAAATCTAAATTGTAAACAATTGATACATCCACAATTAGTATTACAACATGTTGGACATAATAGTTTTAATTTTGATTCAAATCCATCGGCATTTGTGAATATGAAAAAATTTGAACAAATTATTGAACTTTATGATGATCAACAAAATGATGATCGAAATAGTAGATCGAAAGATTCAAAGGAAAAAATTCTTCTATTAATGTCAGCATTGGATATTACACGTGAATATATTAAACGATTACCATTTGGATTAGCATTACCACTATGGAATATAGTCTATCATTTTCGAGATAATCCAAAAAAAGATTGGTGTTCATCAATTTATTCACTTATTGATCGGCCAGATTTATCGGCATTAGAACAACAGCAACCATATTGTTTTGCCCGATCATCAGCATCATCAAACGCTATGGCAAAACAAATGACAACAAATGAAATATTAACAACACAAACAATAAATATGAATGAAGAATTGGAATATTTTGACCTGTCCGTTTTGCGATTATTATTTCCAAATGATCAACGATTACATGAAGCATATCGAATGTTATTGTCATCGAAACCAATGGTAATCGATATAAAACAAGAACCTGGCGTACCAGATAATGAATTTGTTGAAGAACAAGAAAAACATTTGCTTGCATTATCATTTCGTACAATGGCTTTGCCACTTGGACGTGGTATGGTTACATTACGATCATATAGTCCAACTGTTATTGAACGTTTTCCAATACCACCATTGGTATTACATGGTAAAGTTCCACCAAGACATCTAATACATTTAAGTCATATTGATGTACCACCAAATATGAATGTATGGCCATTATTTCATAATGGTGTATCGGCTGGTCTACGAATCTCTTCGGCGCCCAACAGAATGGTTGATTCATCATGGATTTTGTATAATAAACCATCCAATAATCAATCAGCTGATGATCATTATGAACATGCCGGTTTTCTACTTGCACTAGGTTTAAATGGTCTTTTGGATAATCTTTCCATAATACATCTACATGATTATCTTTCCAAAGGAAATGATCTAACTAAAGTGGCAATATTGCTTGGATTGTCTGCATCTCGTCGTGGAACAATGGATTCAACTGTATTTGCTTTACTTGGAATTCATCTTGAAGGACTATTACCATCAACTAGTACTGAATTAGATGTTTCACCAATTGTACGAGTAGCTGCGGTTCTTGGAACCGGATTATTATTTCAAGCAACCGGAAATCGTTATATAGCAAAAGTAATGCTTACTGAAATTGGTAGACCGCCTGGTCCAGAAATGGAACATTATATTGATCGTGAATCATATGCATTATCTGCTGGTTTAGCATTTGGTTTAGTAACACTTGGTCGTGGTAATCAACTGATAAATGTAACAACATCGGATGGAATATCAATACCGGATCAATTGAATCATTATATGTTGGGTGTACATAAGAAAATGTCTACATTACAAAAAGAAAAGACTAAAACACCTAGTTATCATATACGTGAAGGTGATTGTATTAATGCCGATGTAACAAGTCCTGGTGCAACTTTAGCATTGGGTATGATGTTTTTTGATACTGGAAATGCAGCTATCGTACAATGGTTAGAAGTGCCGGCAACACAGAATTTACTTGAAATGGTACGGCCAGATTTTCTTCTTTTGCGAGTTTTGGCAAAAAATTTAATAATGTGGTCAGCAATACGACCAACAACCGAATGGATTGATTCACATATACCGACCATTATCTATGATAATGCATTTCAAGCGTAATACAAACGTTGAAAAAGGATTGGAAAATGAAATGATGTTCATTGATGATGTTGATTATGAAACAATGACACAATCATATTGTAATATTATTGCTGGTGCTTGTTTTGCTTTAGCTCTACGATATGCTGGCACGGCTAATGATCAAGCTTTTCAGGTGGTCTATAAATATACTTCTAGAATGGTTACGCTAAGTCAGAAAGGCACGAATACCCAGATTGAACAAGCTGGCCGTTCAACTATTGAATCCTGTGTAAATGTATTGATCGTTGCTTGTTCAATAATTATGGCCGGAACTGGAAATGTTGATATTATGCGTATATGTAGATTCTTACGTTGTCGTGTGAATCAAACACATGTTTTATATGGATCATTCATGGCTATTCATTTGGCACTTGGTTTATTGTTTCTTGGCGGTTGTCGAATGACATTGAATTCATCGCCAGAATCTGTAGCGGCTTTAATCTGTGCATTTTTTCCAAAATATCCAATACATACGAATGATAATCGTTATCATTTACAAGCATTTCGCCATCTATATGCATTGGCAAGTCAGCCAAGACTATTAATACCAACTTGTATTGATACAGGCGTTTCACTTTATGCACGAATACGTTATACATTTAAAACCGATTATGAACAATCATCAGTTGCTGCCGTAGTGGAAAAAACTGCACCATGTCTATTACCGGATCTTAACCGATTAGAAACAGTCGAATTAATCGATTCAAATTATTGGCCAATTGAATTTGAAAATGGAAAAAATTTCATCAAACTTGAACATTGTCTAGCATCGAATGGTGGCCATCTTTACATTAAAAGACGATTAAAAGGTTTTAGCTACAATAAAGATTTTATCTATGATAATAGCAATGCTAAAATTCATGGTGGTGGCCGATTATCGTTGTCAAATGGACGACAATTAAATCAAAAGGTATGTTCTAACATTTGATTGGTGTGACTGTTTATTTTTTAATCGATAAATTGTTTTTGTGTTAGCAGAGTTTCACATTGTTTGATTTTACCAATGAAACCATATTGAAAACATTTTTCAAGATTTTCAATCAAACCGGTTATCATACTGATGGTGAATTACGAATGAAGAATAAGATTAATTCAATTCTATATGATTGTGCAGAAGATGAACGTCTGGATTTGTTCATACCATCCATACAATTGATTGCTTCTTGTATAGCTATTGTTAGCCGTCGTCAACAACAATCACCGATGATAATGATGATGATGACAGCAAATAATGTTGGTAGTAGTAATGGTGGTACGAATTGGTTGAAACCAATCACAGAATATAAAACTAATAAATCATTAATATTATGCCAGATACGTATTGCATCAAATTATCTTAATCAGCATCGTTCCATACGATCAATGATGTCAATATACCGCATGATTGAAACGATTCGTTTTCAATTGGAAGATCATATACGAACAAATGTCAATCTAAGGAAATTATCTGAATATATTCGTGGGCAATTATCAATACAACAGATATGCCATACTACTACTAATAATAATAATAATGGTGATGATGAATCATTAATTGAATCACTTGTATATTTTAACATTATGCCATTCACTAATGATCGATCAACATCATCGGTGGATGACAACGTCGTCACTGGTAATATGAATACATTTAATATAATCAAATGGCTGAAACGTTCAAATCAATCAGCATTATTCTTATGTGATATATGGAAAAATTCCTGATTATGATGCTATTTTATTTTTATCATTGTGATTGTCTTCAAACTCAAATAAAAATTTTTTAAAATAAAAATTAAACTTAATGTTGTGTGGGCCTATACTTTGTCAATTAAATTCACAATTTACTTTTTTCTGAACCAAGTGCTGCCATCTATCAATATAAATAACAACTAATTTCCGAGGTAGCGAATGTGGCGACGCCTAGCGGATTTTTACTGAACTAAAATTTTACGAAAAAATGACAAAAAATGCGAAAAAATGACAAAAAATGCGAAAAAATTAGTTCAGTGAAAATCCGCTAGGCGTCGCCACATTCGCTACCTCGGAAATTAGTTGTTATTTATATTGATAGATGGCAGCACTTGGTTCAGAAAAAAGTAAATTAACATTTACATCAACAATTTAATCTTATTTTTTTCTGATTAAAAACTGTTTTCAAATGGAGAATTAAGAATTCTATATAATCAGTTTTTTTTATTTCGTTTTAATTGAAAAAGTTTATTTGATAAAAAGAGTATGGGAAGGATTGTGTGTTTGGAGTATCATTAAAATTATTATTATTAACTAATTATCATCATTAATTGATTTGAATAATTTGAATGGAAATTGTACGATTCATATTCATCATATATTCAGTTCGAAGGTTTTTACATTTTTTTTTTTTTTTTGGTTGCTGCTTGTGGTTGGTTGGTCGAATGTTTTCCCCATCTGATTATCATATGTACGATTCAAATATATAATCAATCTTTCCGCGTTTTTCGTTTATGTAATTCTGTTTGTAATTGATGGCTACCACCACCACCACCACCACCACTACCTGTACCACCAGCCCAACCGGATGATGAGGTAGTATTCGTTTGATTGGTTGAAAAACTTCTAGTCATATTTACGGCTGCTGAAGTAGTTGATGTTACATTCAAACCGGTAGCTTGTGTTATAGATGATGCTGTATGTGATTGTATGAATGTTTGTAGCTTATCCAATAACTATAGAAAAAATAAATATCAATTTGTAATCGATAATTGAAATTGAAAAAACAACTTACAAATAACCAAAGCTCTTCGGAAAAATGATCAATAATCGATACGAAACTGGGATAATTACCCGAATAACGACCAAAGACATATGCAATGAATATAGCCAAATCTATCGTACCAATTGAAACAAATATGTTGGCCACTTTTTGGATACCGAAAACTTCAATGATACGTGCAGTCATGAAACAAATGAAACAGGCCATTAACAGGATTAATGGTGTACCAAACAGGCTGTGGTGAAAAATAATATTTATTATTAAAAAATGGAATTTGATTGTAAAATGAAGACTACATACCCGAAAACATTTTTACTTTTATTTTGTATGGCAAAATGTTCGAATGCTTGACCCAGCTCTTCTTCAAGCCGTTCACGATATGATACAGAATATTCAGCACCTCCCATCTTTGGAATAGTATCAAATTCATCCATACATTTGATCAGTAAGTCAGCATGTCGTTGTTCCAATGTTGTCGGATTTATATACGGTTGATTACCACCACAAATGGCTTCCATTTCATTCGTATACATATCCTTAACAACGGCCACGGCATTCAGATTATTTGCTTCAGCCGTCGCTTCCAACATGGTTTTCGGTTCAGGCATTGTATCACCAGCAAATACATTGATATAAACTTTGAAATATTCCAACAATTGTCGTCCAGTTATTGGACGGCCACCGATTTCTTTGGGTATAATTCGGCTAGGTGCCAACAGGTTTGGAACAAATTGACGAAGATGATGAGCAAAATCTTGATCATAATCACCAAGACGACCATCAAAATTCTGTGCAGTAGCAACACGAGCACCAGGATGTGGCATAAGGAAACAGCCAATCTCTTTGAAACATTCACGAATTTTACGGCGAACCCGTTGTAATTGTTCGGGCATGGTTTCTTTAAGTTCCAATTTCTTTTCTAATAATCTATGGCCACCATCAAATCCATATGGATGTTCATATGGATATGACCAATCACGTATGAGAAACACTAATTTTTGAAATGGTTTTTCATGTACAGATTCCAATGCAAGACGGCCATATTCAAGGAAAATTTCCAATACCTGTAGATTATCCTCTTGTAGATTGTGCATTATATTGAAAACTTGTATCGATGATGTCATCGTTGACAATGCAAATACAGTGGCCGAATCTTTTACAGTATATTCACTATCAAAGGCACCCTGTGTATCCATAAGAATGACAGCCACTTCTTTATCATCCGATGTACGAACAAGAAATGGTTCAGACCACATAAGTATACCGGTTGTATCACGTTGACATCCACCACGCCATGAAAATCCTTTCAATGGTGCTGTTGGATCGGCTAACCAATCATCATTTGATGGTGATAATGATGATGAACCATCATTTTGACCATTATTATTATTACTATTATTATTATGATTCGTACTATTTGCTTGTAGATAGCCAAGAAAATGATTCAACATAAATGATTTTCCTGATAATCAAAATAAGAAAAAAACAATTATTATATAACAAATCTATAATAAAAATATACAATTGGGTAAATATTTGAAAAACAAAACAATCGTAAATGTCAAAATAATCGTCAAAAAAAAGAGATTTTCTATTTGCTATTCGATTTCATTGTTGACTGTTGTTGTCGTCGTTATTGCTGAGATTGATTTATGTAATCTACACTATGATCTGCTCAGTTGTACATATGTAAGACGTACAAGTACGTACAATGACAATTACGGTATCATTAAAATGAAATTTTCCTTTTTTTTCTTCTAAGCTAACAAATTATCGATCAATCAATCAATCAATCAGTCCTATTATCTTTTTACAAATAAAAAGAACCCAAAAAACTGGAAAATGGATTTCTTTGTTTTTATAAAACATTCTTTTTTTGTTCATAATTCAGATTGATATCATATCGCAATTGATTTACAAGATCTATAATCGATGATCGACTGTGTGTATCTATTCATGTTGTATGTGTACCTCTTTCTCTCAATGTCTTTATGGCTGTAATGTAAATATAAAATTTTTATGATGATTAATTAGCTTTCAAAAAAATCAATCATCAATAATCAATAAATACAAAATATAATTAATCAATAATTACCTTTACGAAAATCACCAGCAATCGATACAACAACAACGGGTGTATCACGAATTGAATCTCGTAATAGAATTGAACCAAGTGCATCAACATCCAATTCAAATTTACGTTCATCAGTTACTTTTACAATCTGTATTGGCTGTCCAATTAATTGTTCCATTGGATTGGTAATCATTTCATAATCACCATTTGTTGATGATGTCTGCGATGATGTTGATGATCCATTATCATTTATTATTGCAGTTTCATGTTGATCACCCATTATATATACAATTTATTAATTTTTATAAATAACAGAATAATAATAATAATAATAATAACAACAACAAAAGGAATGCTGAAGAGGGAGAGATTGGTTGGTAAAATTAAGAAAAAAAAACAACAGGCAAACACAACAACCACCACCACCACCAATTGCACCAAGGAAGAAAAATTTCAATCAATAATAAAAACAAGAATGACAAAAAATCGTCAATGTTAATGATGGTTAATTTAAGAGAGAGACGAAAAAAAAAATTCAATTAATGTTCATCATCATCATCATCATTGTAGTATAATTTAGCCAAAATAAAAATTCTTTTCTTAGAATAAAAACTAGATAAAAATTCTTTCCATGCACACAAACACAGACAAATACAGTTGTTGAAAAATGAAATGAAGAATTTTTATTATTTGGCCTTTATTATTTTCTTTTCACTCACGAAGAATTCTAAATGTTGAACGCGTGTCACTATACTCTCTCTCTCCGTATGATGTATGCAAAGGGAATAAAAACACGAAACACAACACATACACACACAGACAAACAGAAACAGCAAAAACAAAAATATAAATGAGAAACAAAATCTGTATAATTTGGTCTTGAGATCACCACCACTTGTGATGGATAATCCAATGATTTTCGATTTTTTTTTCTGTTGATTATGATGTCTTTGAGTAGTAGCTGATAGTGATGGTAGCTGATGATGATGATGATGATCGAATTGAATTGAAACTCAAATTATAGAGGATGCTATGGGAAACAACAACAACAACATCAACAAAAGAGAACAAAATTTTATTTGATGAGAAATGGTGGTAGCAAAAGAGATGACGATGATGAAAAAAAATAATAATTTTCAATCTTGTCAACAACGCACATACACACACACACACACAATTTTACATGCAGCAAATAACGCGTTACATGGCCTGAAAAAGCAAAAAAAGCAAACAAATCAATTTACAGATCGACAATTTTTTTTTGCTATTATATAGATATGATAACAGAAAAAAAATAATGAAATTGGATTTGACAATTTCCTACATGCAACTTTTTTTTCACTTGCTCAATTTTATACTTGACAACAATAATAATTTTTCCAATTGAACATTTGGTTAAACGTTGTTGTTGTTGTTGTTGTTGTTGTTCACGTTCGAATGATGATGATGATGATGATGAAGAAAAAAAAATATTCGATAACGTCATTTATGAATTAGGCATTTTTTTTTTGGTTACAATACGGTCGCTAGGTGGCCTTACGGATTATATATTAGCATTTATGTTTGAGCTTTTGTTTGCCGCTCGAATTTTTTTTTTGGTTGGATGTGCTTTGCTGATGTGCTCTGTGTGTGTGTGTGTGTGTGCACATGCTGTCAAAAGTTTACAATTTAAGTTTTCAAAATTCAAAAAAATCTAGTAAATTCATTTTCTTCGGATTTGTTTTGAAAATTTTTTTTCTTCGTATAAATTAAATTTTTATCATCGATCGTTGTGACAGTATTTGAAAGAAAAAATGGGCGATTCTAAACAAGAAGCCGGTAAGTTGTGTTGTTGTTGTGATTTAGTATTTTGAATTATTAATTTTAAAATGTATTTTTTTTCTGTCCAAATCTAATTATAAATAGCGGTTGAAGAACGTATCATTAATGAAGAATATAAAATATGGAAAAAGAATACACCATTTCTTTATGATTTGGTTATGACACATGCATTAGAATGGCCATCATTAACAGCACAATGGCTGCCTGAAGTACAAAGACCTACTGGTTTCGATTATAGTGTACATAAGATAATACTTGGTACACATACATCGGATGAACAAAATCATTTGGTTATAGCTACGGTTCAATTACCGAATGAAGATCATAGTTTTGATGCCAGTTATTATGATATCGATACAAATGAATATGGTGGCTTTGCATCGGTTGCTGGTAAAATTGAAATCATCCAAAAGATTAATCATGAAGGTGAAGTTAATCGTGCACGTTATATGCCACAAAATTCCAATGTTATTGCAACGAAAACACCATCAAGTGATGTTTTGATTTTTGATTACACAAAACATCCAATTAAACCGGCTGATAAAGGTATGAATTTTTCTTTGTTGCTATGTGTGTTTTAACCATTTGAAAATTTTCCATTCCACTCGATATAGCTTGTAATCCCGATCTACGATTGAAAGGTCATCAAAAAGAAGGCTATGGTCTTTCATGGAATGCCAATCTTAGTGGACATCTATTATCGGCTTCGGATGATCAAACCATTTGTTTATGGGATATAAATTCAAATACCAGATCGGATAAAGTGATTGATGCATTATCTATTTTTAATGGTCATACATCGGTGGTTGAAGATGTCGCATGGCATCTATTACATGAATCATTATTTGGTTCAGTTTCTGATGATCAAACATTGATGATTTGGGATACACGATCAAGAGATACGAATAAACCGGCACAAGTTGTCGATGCTCATCTGGCCGAAGTTAATTGTTTATCATTCAATCCATTTTCGGAATTCATTTTGGCTACCGGTTCGGCTGATAAAACCGTTGCACTTTGGGACTTGCGTAACATTAAAGTCAAATTGCATACATTTACATCGCATAAAGATGAAATATTTCAAGTACAATGGTCACCACATAATGAAACTATACTTGCATCATCCGGTACTGATCGTCGTTTGAATATCTGGGATTTAAGCCGTATCGGTGAAGAACAAACAAATGAAGATGCCGAAGACGGACCACCCGAACTTCTTTTCATACATGGTGGTCATACAGCTAAAATTTCTGATTTTGCTTGGAATCCAAGTGATCCGTGGGTAATTTGTTCTGTATCAGAAGATAATATTATGCAAGTTTGGCAAATGGTAAGTTTGATATTCGAATCATTAACCCGTTGATTTATATATTCAAATATGTTGTTGACAAACTTTTTTCTTGTTTATAAACACAGGCGGAAAATATTTATACGGAAGAAGAGACAGAAGCCAATCCAAATGATCTCGAATAATATGAATGAAGGAATGAAAACCACATTACATACACATCGGCAACATTTATTCAATCCATTTTCAACGTTGATGTTTTACACACCCATTTCTTTTTTCTTCTTATGAACAACATGAAACATGATGATTTTTTCATTATTCCAAAAAGATTTGTAATTTTCATCTTCATCCTATTTGAATTAAATTGAAAAATAGATTTTTTAAAAAAAAAAAAATATTTGAAATGTATCAATTTATAAACTTACAGAATATATATCTGGAAATTAAATTTTGACCAAACAACAAACAGAAAAATTTCATTTTCTTTCTTTTTTTTCGTTAATTTTAATTCAATTTTATTTTACCATTATGTTTTGGCAAACAAACAAACAAGCAACAAACAGTTTGATTTTTGTTTTCAATACACAGGCAATAAATGGCAATGTGTTTTCAAGGTTTATGTACCGTTTATGAGGTGTTTTCAGTGTATTTTTTTTTTTTTTTTTTTTTTTTTCACAGGTTAATTTGATTTTTTGTTGTTTTTTTTTTTTTCTTTTTAGGATCTTTTGTATTTTTTTTGGGGGGGATTTTTGTTTGCCATTGGTGATGCTACTGCTGATGCTATTGTTGTTGTTGTTGTTGTTGTTGTTTGCTAAATGGAAAATAAAATTCATTTAAAAACAGTATTGGAAACGGAATTGGCAGGACGGCAATTTTGATTTTACACTCAACGTCCATCAGCATCATCATCAGCACCGCTGACATGATTTGAACAAGCAAAACTTGTATCCATTGATGATGATGTAGTAGGCGTTGTGGTTATGATTGTAGCTATTGTCGACGACTGAAATTCATCATGTTCGATGTCATTATCGGTGGACGTTGTTGTTGTTGTTGAAGTATTTTTCTTGAATGAATTTGGATTCGTGAGTTGTTTTTCATTATTGATCATCATCATATCAGGATCTTGTTGTTGTTGTTGAATATTATCAGTAAACAAAGGATTAAAACCGGTTTTATTTCGTTTATTATTGGTACGTCTTGGACCAAAATTGAAATTATTCTGTAAAAATGATTGAACATTCGATGTTGTGGTGGTGGTGCTAGTGGTGTTGTTTGCTCGAAATCTATTTATTTGGATGAAAATAGAATCGAATGTTAATGGTGTGATGAATATATCGTTTGATAATCTTACCTATCGAATGGTTGATGGATCATTGACATGTTACCATTATTATGGTTAGTTTGGTTATTCATTTGATGATGATAATGTCGATTTTGATTATGATTATGATAATTATTACGATGATGATTATAATGATGATGATGATGATTAAAATGTGCAGGTCGTTGATGATAATGATGTTGTTGATGATTAATAATGTTAATTGGCTGTCGATTTTCAATATCATCATCATAATCATCATCATCATTATCATTATCAATATCACAATCAATGAATAGATCATAGCTACCAGATCTTGTATTTGTCGCCGTTGTTGAACGATTCATTGATGAATGTGGCAATGGTAATGATTCAAAACGAAATTCCAATGATTTATCCTCCAAATACGTTTGTGTAAATGATAGATTTTGTTTATGAAATATTCGTCTTTTTTCAATAAATTCTTGAAATTTTGTTTTACTTGGATATTTACCTGAAAGATATTCTTTCACGTCATAATCATCAAACCATTTTCGGAATAGATACAACAATAGATTACGATATTCAATGAAACTGTCGACAACATATAATACTTGGCCAAGCAATGATTTTGAACGACTTTTATCAGCTTTCATGAATTTATCATGAAGATATTGAAAATCTTTAAGAATTTCAGCTGAATTAAATGAACCATAGCTTACATCATTCCATGGTTCAATATGATCTTTGATACGTAATATTGATGATTTTTTCTCTGAATTTGAATGTCGGCCAACAACACCACCACCACCACCATTACCATGATGATGATGATTATGATTAGTATCATTAAGATAATTACATTCAATATAATCACCATCATTATGAACGGAAATTATATGATTTTTGAAAAAATTTACATCACCAAAACGTTCGAAAAATCCCATCAATAGATAGCCAAGAATGGAATTTTGATAAACATTTTCATTACGTACTAATTCTTTGACAGATTCTTCTTGAAAAAAACGAATAACCATCAATGCTAATGCATAAGAACCGATACCGCCATAGAATACTTGATTCGTACCTTTTGATAAAAGATAATATTTAAGAAAGAATAATAATTTCATCTGATGTGAATTTGGACGAATATGTTCCTTAATATATTGTGAACGTTCCATAACATTTTTTGTATTCAACGTAATGTTTATCGGTAAACCGGTTAATGAATCATTAAATTTCAACAATGGTATTCGTGATAATGGAATAATGTTGAAACGATTTTCAATAATGCCATCATATGCTAAACGTTCGGCAATCAAAAACAGTGTTTGTAATTCATCATTGACAAGATTACAATAGACAACCAGATCGATATCGCTTACAGGCAGATAGGTTTTTGAACTATAACTACCATAATATTTTACCTGTGTGTAAAAGTTTTATAATTTTCATTATTATATTAATTAATAAAATCAAACCATCATACCTGTTTAACGAATGAAAGTTTTTTAATTGAATCGGCTAAACAGAAAAATGTTGCTTTTCGCATTATTTCATCCTCTTTCAGTGGTTTAATAAATGAATAAAAATCATTCAATTCGACATGAATTTTTTCATAAATTGTTTCATAACAATCTTGTTGTTGATGGCCAGAAGATTTTATCAACTGATTTTCATGATTACTATCATTATCGTTACCATTATTATCATCATCATCGTGATGATCATTTGTTGATGATGATGAACGATTTATAAACCATAATTCACCTTTATATTTATATATCTGACAAAGATTACGTACAACACAATCGGGGAATTTCAAATTCTTAACATAGAATACATTATCCTTACAGGATATACATTCATTATGGCGGCCATTTATTTCGAATGATCCTTTATTCAATGATGAACGTTTTATGAAACTAAAATAATTTGGATGTTTTCGTCGCTGTAACTGCTGCTGCTGTTGCTGCGGTTGATTGTTCGATTGTTCATGCTCATTATTGGCAATAATTGTATGATGATGATATGAAGTTGATGATCTTGGCCGTTGTTGTTCGTTAATTATTTCCGATTGTTCCATAAATAATCCATTATTATTATTATTATTATTTGGTAACGATAATATGATCGATGATTGTCGTAAATGATAACCACTTTGATGGCCACGTGTTGATGATGAGGACGAAGAAGATGATGATGATGATGATGAGGATGATAATCCAGAACCAATGCAATGTCTTGTTTCTTCAATCATATTTTCTTTTTTCTTGTTTCGAATTGTTATTCAAACACTATTTTTTTTGAATTGAAAGAGAAAGAGAACGATAGCGATTATAATGATGATGATGATTCAGAAAATCGAATCAAAAAGCAAGAAAAAATCAAAATGAAACAATTTTAAATGATTGTCTTTAAATAAGCGAAAAAAAAATCAAGCCATCGATCGTAAATGTTCAAAATCGGAGAAAAAAAAAGAACAAAACATAATGGTCAACAACAATATTGGTGAACTTACCATCAGTCAAAGAGAGTTTTGTGTGTGTGTGTGATTAATCGGTCATTTCATCATCAAAGTGGTGGCAAACACATTATTTATGCACATGAATCGATTAAACAGATCCACACATCATGGTGAAAAAATTTTTCATTTGATATTTTCATATAAAACATATATAGAATTTTATTATATTTGAATTAAAATAATATAATCTTTTTTTTTGTTCAAATTCACAATTTTTCAATCAAATAATTAGCATATAATTTTTTTTTCACAATTTTTCATATAATTGAAATGAAAATTTCTTTTTTCGTTTTTTTTTGTTTTGTTTTGTTCAAAACACAATTGTCACAATTGATTAATTGATGATGATTGGATTGATGAATAAATTTTTCGGATGTATATGAATTTTCATCCACTGGTTTGTTTGATTCTCTTGTTCGATTCTTGTTTTTTTTATATTTACATTTTGTTGTGTTTGTTTGTTTGTTTTTGGATTCCGGGATTTCGAACATCCAAATCTAGACAAAAATTTTCCGGGAAATTTTTTCTCAAAACTAAATGTATTTATATTGTTGGGAAATTTCTTCCACCAACGATTGATTGTTGTCCAATTTTTGCACAATCTACTTTTGTATCGTTCCAACGATTTTAATAAAGATGATGATGATGATGATGATGATGATGATGAAAAACAAATTCAAATGAAATATCTCAGTTTGTGTGTATATGTTGATGCTTGAATGGATTCAGCTCTTTCGTTGTGTGTTTATTTTGGATGATTAATTGACTGATGACTGTGTATGTAATAAATTATTGACTCTCTTTGCTTCTTTTAGGTTGCTTTTGGTGGATTCAAAACGGTCACAAATTCTGTAATGTAAATTTTCGAAAAAAAAGGAGAAAATTTCATAGTGAAATTCAATAAATCAAAAGAAGAAAAAGAAAAGAAAAACACACCAATATAATTAACAAGACCATCACCATCAAGATCAGCTTCACGTATCATATCTTCGACTTCTTCATCGGTTAATTTTTCACCCAGATTTGTCATGACCAACCTTAATTCGGGTGCCGATATAAAACCATCACCATTACGATCGAATACACGAAATGCTTCTTTTAGTTCTTCTTCTTTATCAGTTTCTTTCATTTTTTTCGACATCATATGTAAAAATTCATTGAATTCAATCGTACCATTACCTTTTTGACATAACATAACATCCAAATATTGACATTCAAAAAAAAATAATCATCATCATCATCATCACTTACCATCCTGATCGACCATGGTGACCATATTTTTCAATTCAGCATCCGATGGACGTTGTCCCAATGAACGCATTACAATACCTAATTCAGTTGCCGTTATACGGCCATCCAGATCTTTATCGAATAACATGAATGCCTCTTTAAATTCGGCTACTTGTTCATCTGATAGTCCATATTCGGCCTTGAATGATTTAAGATTCAAAGAAAGATGACGACAATATATAAAAAAAACCAATTTAGAATGTTACACGACAATAATATAACAACAACAACAAACAACAAACAAAACTTTTCCATCAATCAATTGAATCGATTGAATGAGATAAATGTCCTTACCATTTTTTTTTATATTTTATTTATTTATATTTTAAGAATGAAAATAAACGATGTTGATGTTTATAGTGGACACAGAAACAAATGATGAAAGTTTATGTTTTTGTATAGGATAGGATAAATTATTTAAACAAAGATATGAAAGCTTTTTTTTGGAAATAAAAATAAAGTGATGCTTTTTTGGAAAAAAATTGAAACCAATCAACACGGACACGGCGATGAAACAATATTATCCGTTTCCGTCGTTGTAGATGAAAAAAAAATATTTTTTCTGGTCAAAAAAAAGTGTTAATGAACTAATATCAACAACAACAACACACGAACACACTTGGTGATTGGTGATTGATTGATTGATTGATTGATGGGTATTTGTATGTGTGCTGTGTGTGAATGAATGAATGTCACGATTAATCGATCAATGACCGATTAATTTAATCATCAGTTTTTTTTTCTTTGCTAAATGAAAATTTGTCAATTGATTAAAATTTTGAATAAAATTGTATTCTGAAAATGAAAAACAAAACAAAACATAAAGATAGAAAAATTGAATTGATTTTTTCCCTGATGTCAAATTTATGTCAAATGATGATGATGATGATGATGATGATGATGATGATGCTGACTAGCGATAAACGATGAAGATGATCTTCGAGGTTATTCTTTTTTTTCGAAGGTTTTTTTCAACTTTTTCTTCCTCGATAAACACCACCACCACCAATAACAACAACGAAAAAAAAAATATTCAAAACAAGCAAAAGATGGAAAAAAACAAAACAAAAGTTATAGGATTTAATTTCACAGCTACAAAAACAACTGAGAGAGAGAGAGAAATATTCAATTTTCAATTGTCCTCAAAATGATATTTACGTTGAAAAAGTTAAAAAACAAAACAAGATGAGATGATGTCTGATTATGATGAAGATTTCAACTACCGATATTATTGTTGTTGTTGTTGATTATGTTGATGGTGATAGTGATAGTGATGACGACGAAGACGACAATCAACAATCATCATCATCATCATCATCATCATGAATGATGACAATGGATATATAATGATAATATCAATGTCTTCAACATTACATAGACACACACTAATATAAACAAAGAGACATACATACACACCTACATTATGTGTGTGTGTGTGTGTATGTGTGAATTCAATTTTTAGAATAAATCAGATATATTTTTCTTTTTTCTTGGATGATTTCCATGTACACACACATCATCATCATCATCATCATCATCGTCAATTGCATTGTATACCATAATAATGCATTGTTAATACTGTATATACAGATACATGATATTTTTTTTTTACCACTGACAACTGATGAATCTGTTTTTTTTTTCGTTGTTATTGTTGGTAGATTGGTTGGCTTGGTTGATTAATGTTTGGATATTTTTTTTTTTTTGTATTCAAACATCCACATTGATCTTATTGTTTGTTCATTTGTTGGCGATGATGTAGGCGCTATGAAATTATCATCATATGGTTGCCAATATAAAAAAACCGTTTTTTCTTTCGAAAATGATTCGAAAATTTGACGAATTTTAGTATGCTTTGTAGTCGTTGTTGTTGATTCATTTGTTCATTCATTCAAAATAGCAGTATAAACTGTTGCGTGTTTTTTTTTTACTTCTTCCAATTCGAATGGAGAAAAAAAACCTTTGAAAAATCTCCTGGTAACCAATCATTATTATAAACATACAGACACAAACACACACATCGAAACATGAAAACTGTTTTTTCTTCTCAAAATGAATGTCATATGAATAGAATTTTTATCAGATCATTGAGTTTCTAGTAGTAGAAGTGAAATAAAATAAAAATTAGTCACCATAAGAATAAAATAAAATGATAATGATAATTACGATGTTGATGATGATCATCAGTGTTTATAATTATATTCATCGTCGTCGTCGTCGTCGTCTTCGTAATTAAAGAATTGGAATAATTTTCAGAAATTATCATTATTATATGTTGACAATGAATATTCCTTTTTTTTCTTGATAATAAAATGCTTGAAATGAACTGAACTGAAATAAAATGAATGAATGAACATGGATACAATTCAATTCAATTCATTCATTCATCCATTCTATTCTTATTCTAGATTATTGGCAGCAAATGTTTTTTTGTTGTTGTCTGGAATTTTCTTGTTCAATGATTTTTTTTAACAGTAGGTAGGTGTTTTTCAAATTCCGAATTTTATATATTGTTGATGATAATAGGTTGTCGTTGTTGTTGTTGTTGTTGTTATCGTTGTTAAAATTCTTTGTCACATTCCAAATTCCTATTGTAGAAATCAAAAAAAAAATAAATTATGATTTCCCCAGAGTGATCCCAAATGATGATGATGATCGTAAATTGATGAATTTGAATAGTTGAAATTTTTTTTTTTTTTAAAAATGCCAATAAAAGATTTCTTGTTCTAGTCGTCGTCGTTGTTGTTCAATAAATTTTTTTTTTTGAAATGATCACCGATGAAAATGAAAAAAAAAGTATTTTAAACTTTTACGGCTGTCGGGCAATAAATTCGGATAAATACAGAATCAATGACAGTGTGAATTGTTGAGAATGATGTTGAAAAAAAAAAATTTTCTCGAAAGAATCGAACATAAAATATCGAAATCTAATAGAGAGACAAAAAAAAATTAGGAATCAGAATAGTTTGAATTTTTTTTTGTGTTTTGACCTTTTCGCAGTTTAAAACGTGAATGATGATAATAATGAAACATACCTTGTTTCGTTTTTATTTCTATTTTTATTTTTTCGTTTGGTCGTTTCTGGTCGTAACGAGAAATGCGCCGTCGTTGTTGCATAGAATATTCTTATCCAGGAGTACACACACACACATATTACATAGGTAAAATGAAATTCGTCGTCTGTTATTTGCCTGATCCAAAAGAACAAAAAAAAATGTTGTATTGTTCCAGAATCAGAATCATCATCATCAGAATAAATGTATGGAAATTTATGGCTTACCGATAATCAAGGTGAACAACAGCAACAGTAACAACAAAAAAAAACTGGTAGCAGTTCAAGGTAGTATAGTAGATGTTTGTGCAAATGCAATGATTCTGGCCAATGCCAACCATTTTTCCATTATTATTTGACTGGAAAAAAATAAAAGTTCAGAAATTCAAAACTTTTTAGTGTTGAATTTTTTCTCATTTTTGATTAACCAGGACAGGGCAAAAGGAATGAAATGAATTTTCCGATTTCAAGTTTTGATTGTTTCTGTTGTTGTTGTTGTTTTCTGGAAAAAAATTGAAATTTTTCCGAAATATTTTTTTTTTTTCTTTCTTTATTTCAAACAATACACAAGAGAATTTCCGTCGACACATCATAATCCATGACGGAAATGTTTTTTGTTTTATTTTCACATAATTTCGCCATACATTTGAAACCGAAGAAGAAAATCCCAATTATTTGTCAACAAAAAATATTGCTGTTGATGATGATGATGATGAGATCGAAATGTCAATGAGAATAGAGAGGAGAAAATTGTCGATTTGTAGAAAATTAATCGGTGTGCAAGAATAAAACCTGTAATTCTCTTTTTTTTATGATTCTCGGCTGTTGTTGTCCTCGTTTCGGATACGATTCAAATTTGGATTTTTTTTCTGTTTGTTTGTTTATCGGTCGCTGTATCCTTGGTGGTTCGATCCTGGATTTGATTTGATTATTATGTTTGTTTATTTTTCTGTCGAAATTTCCATTTCAATGGAAATTGTTATTTCATTCTATTCTATTATCATTTTTCGAATGGGATTCATTCGTTTGGAAAATGTTTTTTTTCCCACATACACCATCATTCTTTGTGTGCAGTATGACATTGGTGGTTGTAGTGGTAATTTTTTTTTTTTTTTTTTTTGATGGTGTCTTGTTGTTGCTGTCATTGTTGTCTGTGCAATCAGAATCAATGGAAGAAAAAAGTTTCAATTTCATTTACCAAAAAAAAAAAAAAGAATCGATATGAAAAAGTCATACATGGCAGAAGACGACGACGGGTGATGAAAGTTTTCATTTTAATTTTGTTTTTCATTTGAAATGTTCAACATAGTAAAAGATGAATGAAGACTTTAAATTGTTGAAAATTAAATTGTAATAATAAAAAATTGATTGAATTTGAAATCATACACATATGTAATTAGAATGAAGAACAAAACAATGAATATCACACAAATTTATAATGATGATGACGATGGTCGAATATGATGAAACAAAAACAAAAAAAAAAAAAATTCTTGCAAATTCAAGATTCAATTCTATCTGTAGGTGTGTGTGTGTGTGTGACAGATGAGAATTGTTGGTTCTTTTTTAGATTTTTTCTTTCTTTGTGGTATCTTTCTGGTGTCTACCGGTTTTTTCTTCTTTTGTCATTCAACGGTTTCGATTTCGATAATTTCTAAGGAAAGAAAAAAGAAAAAAAAATTAGAAATGGAACATTTTACAATGGTAATGGGAAGTCGAGGGTGGGTGGTGGGTTGATATCAAATGTACCAAAACCAGCCACCACACCACACACCGTGTAACGAACAAACTGATTCTTTCGTGAAAAATTTTTTTTTTGTGCTGATTCAATTTTTGGAATGAATGAATGAATGGAAAAATGAAAATGATTCATATGAAATTCATTCATTCATTTATTTTTTTTTTCGTGTTTACATTACCGATAATATCAGGTGCACACACACACACACACACACACACCATCGATAGAAAGTACATACGTAGAAACCTTTTGTGTTTGTGGTATTATATTATCATTTTTATTTCGATTTTCTTTTTTCGATGATATCAAAATTTGATGATGATGATGATGACTAATGGAGCTCATATCGTGATGACGATCGATTGTGGTTTTCCATTTTTTTTCGATTGTATTTCTTTGCAAAAAAAAATTTCGTTTTTTTTCATCATCATTTGATAATTTGATGATCAAATGATGAAAAAAAATTTCATTCGATTTTTTCTTTTGCCGGGAATATTTTTTTTTCTTTTAAAACTTTCAATCATGTAAATTTTCCGAAAATTTTTTACATCATCATCATTTTTTTTTGTTTGTTTGTTATACATTCGATTCTCGAACCTATAATGTAGGTGTGTTCCAAAAGTAAATTCTTGGCTTTTTCTCTCTCTCTCTTCACTTCGAAGTGATTCTTTAATAATAATAATTATTATATTTTATCCATTATATATTGTTTTTGTTTCCATATTCTTTTTGCTTCATCATCATCATCATAATAATAAAGTCTATCATCATTGAATTAGATGATGATGATAAATAAATAGAAGAATCACAGAATCTATTATTTAGTGTTTGTGTTTATATTCGTAAGTGTTTTGTATATTCTATATATATATATTGAAATTATTATCATTGTTTTATTTTTTCTATTTGTTTCAGGTGATGTCCTGGTACACACACACACACACTACAGACACATTGAATTCTATCTGGTGTTTGTTCAACAACAACAACAACAACAACTACCAGTGTCATCATTGAAGATAAAGACTTTGAACAATAATCATCATCATCATTATTATCATGATGATGATGATAAAAAATTAATATAGTAAATGTAAATAATTTTTTTTGAATATATTCTTCATTCAATATATACAAATATATATTGAGCGCATTAACAATGATGATGATGATGATTAGTGAGTGAGTATACTGTTTCCATGTATTTATATTTGTTTATGTTTTAATAATAATGACTATGACGATGATGACAACGATGACGACGATGGTGGTGGTGGTGGTGGTGGTGGTGGTGGTGGTGATGATCATTGATGTATGTACATACACACACACACAAAAAAAAACTAAAGAATTCTATAAATAAACCATCATCATCATATTCTTCTTCAAGTGTGTTTCTGTGTTGGTAAGTTATTTCTTTTTTTTTCACTTACCATCATCATCATCATCGTCGTCGTCGTCGTCGTGAAATGAATTTTGTATTAAGATTCACATTTTCTTTATATATTGAAATATAGGTATTATAAATGGAAAAAACAAATCTAAATAGTTTCAATATCAAATTCGACGACCTGATTCTCAGACACACACACACACACACACGAATCAGCATCACATGGCCAAAAAAAAGAAAAGAAAAGAAAGATTTTTCATTATATAGAATTGAATTGGAATATAAACAAAAATTTTTCACTGTCTCTCTCTCTCTCTCTTTCTTTTTTTCTTATTTTGAATTTAGACCAGATCTTGTACACACACACACACACACACATACAACCTAATATGATGATGTTGTTGTTGTTGTTGCCAAAAAATCAAAAATGATTTTGTCATGTTTTTTTTAAACAAGAACACAAGATATCTACTGTTGCTGAATTCTTTTTTTTTGATTATAGAATTTTTTTTTGTTAGAATCCAGAAGCCGACAAAAGGAATTGATCATCATCATCATCATCATTATCATTGGTTGAAAAATGGATGCCAAATGTTCTGTATATATATACATTTGCTTTTACCGAATATTCGTTTGTGCAATAATAAGAAAAAATCTCCAGAATTTTTTTTTTCTGAGGCGACCATGGAAACATCTCGTACATTTCCTTTTTTTTTTTTTTTCTTGTTTTTCACCATAAGTAATATTATTATTATGAATTGCATTTATTTTTGTATGTAATTTTTTTTTTTCTTTCTTCTTCTTCATTTGCTTCATTTCAGGGATTTTTCTTTGTAATGCTACACACACACACAAACACAGAAACAAAAAGAAGAAAAATTAACCATTGAATTTTATAGCAATACGGGCGTGTTGCCATCGTTGATGTTGTTTTTGTTTGCTCTATTTGTATATGTAATGTTTTCGATATATGTGGTTGCCAAAAATGGTTCGATATTCTGGGCACTAAAATTTCCGAATTTCGGTGTTATGTGTGTGTGTGTGTGTGTTACACATTGGAATTATATTATTATTATTATTTCTCTGCTACTGCTATTTTATTCTTGATAATAATAGATTCTCATTCTACTTCTTTTGGGTTTATAGAAAAGAGGAAAAACAAAATTCTTTCGAATCTTTTTCATTTTGTTTTGTTTGATTTAGTTTGTTCGTTTTTTTTCTTGTTCATTCATTTCACACATCATTCAATTCAGATATTCAGATTCGAATCCTTTAATTTGCCTGTTTAGTTCATAACCAAAAGAATTGTTTCTCTTGCAACAACAACAACAACAAAAAAGGAATCCAATAGCAATCCAAAATGGTAAGTAATTTTTTTTTCTTCTACTTGGTTTCATCGATTCAATTATTTTCGATCATTTTTTTTTGTCAATAAATTCTTTGTTTTTTTTCAATTCACCTTTGTTAATGTTGTATGGATTCTGGGAATTGTTTCATTAGTCTGTGGAAGAATTGACCAAAGAACAAGTGCAAAGTAAGTTTCTAACTATATATATCTTCTTCATCATTATTGATTAATTATAATTGATTAAATTTCAATCAATGAATTATCATTAATCATTGAATTCAGTGTTGCGCAAAGCATTCGATATGTTTGATCGTGAGAAAAAAGGCCATATCCACACAAATATGGTATCAACAATTCTAAGAACATTAGGTCAAACATTCGAAGAGAAAGACTTACAACAATTGATCACGGAGATTGATGCAGATGGTAAGTATATATTATATTATTATTATTATTAATAATCATATTTCGTCATTCTTTAATCGATTATTTGTACACTCATTCATTCATTCATTCATACAAATGTGTTTTAATATCAAACAATCAATCAATCGATTAATCATAATAATAATAATAATAATAATAATAATTTATTGATCATTTTTTTCCTTACTCACTATTTACTCACTACTAGGTAGTGGTGAATTAGAATTCGATGAATTCTTAACATTGACGGCTAGATTCTTGGTAGAAGAGGATGCAGAAGCAATGCAAGAAGAATTACGTGAAGCTTTCCGTATGTATGATAAAGAAGGTAATGGTTATATACCAACAAGTGCATTACGTGAAATTTTACGTGCACTTGATGATAAACTTACCAATGATGAATTGGATGAAATGATTGCCGAAATTGATACCGATGGTTCTGGTACTGTTGATTTTGATGGTAAGTAACAAAAAACAAAAACCACTCAGCAACATAAATTGCCAATAAAATTTTTTTGTTTTGTTTTGTTTTGTAGAATTCATGGAAATGATGACTGGTGATTAAAAAACAAAAATAAAAATAAACGGCGAACACACACTCACATGATAATAATGGTAACGAACCACATCCAATTATACAACAAATCAAAATCAAATCGATCGATCGATGAACACATGTGCTTATTATTATTCAAAATTGGAGATAAAAGGGCAAACAGTGGATGATGATGAAAATTATTGATTATTGATTATTAATTTAATAATTTTAATTATTAATAATAAAAAAAACCACATCAGTTATTTATTTGAAAACTAAATGAATGAAAAAAAACAAATTGAATTGTGAATCATCGTCGTCGTCGAGAAAAAGAGAGAGTGTCTGTTTGTTCGCTGTACAAAACAAAATTGAATTGAATTGAATTTTGTGCAAATTTTGAACACAGATTGGATAAATTGGCAAAATGCAAAAAAAAAAAATTTTCAAGTGTGTGTGGGTGTGAACAAACAATTTTATAGGTAAATTGACAAAAAGAAAAAAATTATCAAAAAATTTTTTTTTTGTTTTTTGTTTTATTCGACACGGTTAGAACATTGCGTGTGTGTGTGTGTTGATATAGTCTCATGTTTTTTTGGTGTATAAATAGATAGGGTATTTCAAAAAGAAAAGAGACACAATTTCCGTTGATGTCATTGATTGAAGATGATTGATTATTCATCGCATGGCACTAAATTTCGTGATTGTTTTGAGCTATTTACAATGTTTATGGCATCAGAATCACCAATACCAATATCAATTAGACAACCATGAAATCCATGACGGTAAATACCATGTGTCATTGTTTGAAAATCTGGTAAACCACCGAAATAAATATCACCATCAGCATTCAATGTATTTTTGTTACCAGGTGATTGTCCATAATAAATATTTTCATCGACACGTAAACTACCTTCTTGATCTTTTAAACGTAAAACAACGTGATGTAATTCACCATCATCGATTGGATAATCACTATGTACATGACCTTGTCCACTACCCAAATCAAATGTCATCTGTACATGGCTATCATTTATTAAAGCGGCAGAAAATCCGATCGTAAGCCTAGTGAGTAATCTTCATAATTTTCTGATGGACCATAAAATACTAGCAAAGCATTTCGAACAAATGTACGTAATTTGAATCGTATTTCAATTAGCGTAGGTTGATGATGATCCTCTTTAATGATGATCGATTGAGTAATGAATGATCGATCAAATCGTACATATGATTGACCATTCATACGAACTGAACGTGGATTGGCAAATTGTAACGGATGTTGACAACGTGTACCCGAATAGCCTACTGGACAATGGCAAAAATAGGAATCCTGTTTATAATTTTCACATTCACCATTATTTTCACAAGGCATGGTATGTTCACAGATTCCCTTGATACGTTCACAATGTGGTCCAGTATGATCATCATCACAAATACAACGATATGTTGTTTCATTAAGCTCCAGGCAATTTCCATTATTTAAACAAGGTGATCGTTGACATAAAGAAACTAGGCCACAATTTTCCAAATTACTGGATTCAATATGTTTTCGTGAAAAATCAATATTTTTATCGTTAATTTTCAACTATATTTTAAACAAACAAACAAACAAAAACACAACAGAAATTGAGTATTAAAGTTATTAGCAAATTATTGCACCACAGTTACCTGACTAATACAACCATTAAAATGGTCAATTTGATGATCAACGGTGTTTGGTAATGAAATTCTTGTTCGATTATAACCACCAACATAAATCAGTGTTGCTAGATTCAGTCCAATAGTTTTACCCGGTGTACGACCGTAAATAGTATCCATTCCTTCAATTTGCAATTCAGCATCACGTCCATTACGACGGACAATTATTTCGATCCATTCATGATCCAAAAGAATCATTGTACTTCGAATAATTGCAGCACCAGAACCGGTATCGAAACGAAATTCAACAATTTTATTAACAATGGCCAATAAAGCATAATCACCGGTTCCATTTTCAAATTGGCCACAATATAATAATAATTGATTCGATGATAATGAAAAATCTGGCTTTATACGAATGGCTAAATCGAATCGATTCAATGTATTGGATGGTGAACGCAAAGCAATATAAGCACCATTGTTGAACATTGGTTCCAGAATGGTAATTGATTGTTCACAATAACGACCAGAACGTCCGTATGGACACTCACATTTAAATTTCATAATTGGATCTTCGCGACAATAACCATCATTACAAATACCTGGTATACAGGTTTCAGCAAATGATTGACAATCGTCACCACTGAATCCTGGTTGGCAAGAACATTCATAACCTTCAAGTTTATGAATATTTTCACGACATTCACCACCATTCTGACATTGTTGTTGTTGTTGCATACCACATATATCACAATGTCCAATACCATATTGTTGAGTTGCATTTTTTATCAAATCAAATGATTGAGAATTTGATTCAAATAAACTTATACAGCCAACAAATCCATAATTATTAAATTGTAAACTCAAATCTGTATCGGGAACATTTCCAATATACAATGGTGATGAAAGATCAAGACCGATAAATTTTGCTGATGAACTAGTCGATACCAAGTCTTGGTCATCAACACGCAATTTTCCAATATTACCATTACGTGTTACGCGTATCAGATGCCAACGGTCCATTGTTACTGGTTCGGCTGAACGTATCGATGAAGGCCCACCACCCAATTCAAAATGAAATTCTACATAATAATTTCGAAGGCCAAGTGAAATGAAATCTTCTTTGAACCATCTTGTTGTTGTTGTCCACCGTTATAAAGGATTAGGCCATCTGGTTTTTCTGGTTTAACGCCGATAGTCAATTCTAATGATTGATGTGCATTCGCCAGTGTTGGTAATGTTAGAAATGATATCGGTGTTTGTGTAAAACGAGGTACATTTCCATCAATCAATACGGTTATAGGAATCATAGCCGTTTGAATGGTTGTAATTCCATTATTCACCATACATACATAGGTTCCAGTATCTGAACGTGAAACATTAGTTATAATTAAGGTTCCATTTGGATATATTCGTATCGTAGAATTGACAGTAGATTCAATAATTATTTTTTGCTTGAAATTAGATGAATTATATTTGTACCATGTAAATGATAATAATAATGGATCGGCCAATTGATTACCACGGAAACCACAATACAAGATAAGTTCAACACCTAATGGTATGATTCGTTTTTCGTCTATTTTAACCGAATTTAGAGTTTGATTATGTTCATGAATTATTATCAAAGATGTTGGTAATGGTTCTGTAGATGAAACAAAAAAATGTTTTTCAAATTTTAAATTAAATTTTTTGAAAGAAATTCTAAAGCTTCTTACAAGATTCAAAGCAGTGTATTATAAAATTAAGGTTGATTATTATCATCCATGGAAAGCAATTATGGACATGTTTAGCGAAATGATTAGTTTTTGTTACATTCAAAATAGCAATTAAAAAAAATAAATGAATGACCAGGAAATAAAAATAAATATCATTTCATACCTTGTATAACGAGAAGATAATTGGCATGAATTTTTGTTTGTTGATCAATCATTGAACATTGATAAACACCGCCATTCTCATAGGTAATACGATCGATTAATAATCGATTTCGATCAATATGAACATTTGATTCAAATTGTCGATGATTTTTACCTTCATCATTATCGATAATTGACCATCTTATAGGTATTGATTCAGGATCATCTTTACCATTCAATAAACATTTCAGTTCTAACGAATCATCCAAATTGATTAGATCTTTATCGGCTTTTATGCGTAGGTCATTAATTAAAATGGCTAATTGAGAGAATGTAGAGAATAAAATTAATTTCTGTGTAGAAGAGAAAAAAAATAAACTTACGAGCACAAGATTCTTCATCCGATCTATCCAAACAATCCACAATCATATTACAACGTAACATAATATGAATACATTCACCACTTTGAACACATAGAAATTGATTATGGTCACAATTATGATATGTAGGTTCTTTAACCGTTAGAATGATAGCATTTTGTTCGACTAATGATCCATTCCATATAACGTGACAAAAATATCGGCCAACATGATCCATTTGAACTGAACCGATATGTAATTGATTACGAATTATTTTCACATTATTTGGTAACATTTTTGATAAAGATTGATTATTCTGATGGTGATGATAATAATCAAATTCATCATTAGAATCAAATTGCCATTCAATATCTAAATCTTCATTTGGTTCAACAAATTCCGTTGGACAACGAAGCATTAAATTTGCACCCAAAATAGCTACTTCTTCACGAACATTTTGTGGATCACGACCATCGACAACAATTATTTCCGATAATGCTTCCACACGACCAGCACCATTAACAGCGGTACAAAGATATTTCCCAGCATCCGTATATTCAATTCCATGAAATATTATACGACTTGTTATCGTTTTCGATCGAATACCACCATCACCATCGCCATCGATCATCAAATCATCACGACGTACACCAACATTATCGGTAACAACAATACCAGTGGGCAGTTCACTATCAATACGGCTCCAAGTAATTTGGGCCATTGATTGCTGATGATGATTATTATAATCATGATTATTATGATGACGATTTAGATTAATATCATAATCATAATAATTATCATCATTTACATCATTATTATGATCATCATCATCATTATCGAGAACCGCCACACAATCAATAATGGCAGTGTCACCTGGGCGTACTGTTTGTAATGGTGGATCAATTTGTATTCTAGGCGGAACTATAGGAAAAACAACAAAAGGAGAAGAAAAAATCAATTAATAAAAATCGATTAATAAATTTCAATAAGCTAACAAGCTAATACACTATATCTATGATCTAATGATTAGATTAATTGATTTTCAATAATATTAATTAATTAATTATATTACCTTTTGCCCAGGTACCTTGCCGTGATCAATGCAAGCAGTATGATAATAAGAGAGGAAAGCAAAATGACAATGACCGCGCTCTCAATCAACTTACCAACGACGGCTAAACGTGCACGATTCTTGAATAACATTTGTGATTGATGTGAATTTGGATCATCAAGATATCCGAGACAATAATAATCACCACTATCCTGTGGTTTCACCTGATCAATTGTTAATGTTCCATTCTCTACACGTGACATATCTGGCAATGATACATTATCGGCACGAATCCATTTGATTATGATATTACGTTTTGTACCGCGTACAAAACATCTAAGTTCAGCACGTGAACCTGCAGCTACGGTAACAACTTTTTCTTCAACATTAACATCAGGTACAGAATTGAAATTCTGTTCAACAATTAATTGTATTCGTTCTTCAGAATTGCCCATCGGTGATTGTAATGAACAAACATAGATTCCATTATCATCAAGTTGTACGGACTGTATCTGTAATGTTGCACGATTATCTTCAATGGAAACCAAATGCCGTTGTCGTTCTGAATTCATTGTTTGATTCATATAGTAGTTATGATGACCATTGCTTAATTTATGCCAATTAAGTTTTGTTGGCTGGCCACGATGATTCAAACGAACACTAGATTTACATTCTAATCGAACAAATTCATTTTGTCGTACACGATATGGTGTGTTCTGTAAAATTCGTACGCGTGGAATTTCTGGCATTGATAATGATGTTTGTGCCGTAGCACGACCAGCTAAATTTTCGGCACTACAAACATAAACACCTTCATCATGTTGATCAATTTGATCAAACTGCAATAGGCCACCATTAACCTGTGCATTCGATGTGAATGGTGAACCGTCCAATCGACGCCATTCAATCGTTGGTTCCGGTATACCGCCTGTGACTCGACATTGAAAATATGTACTATGCAAATACAAAATAAACATCAATCAATCAATTATCGATCTAAAACGATTAGTTACCTGGAACCTTCACTAAGAACAACACGATCAATTTCAATCGATGGTATTTGCCGCCGTTCAATTTCAACAAAAGCTGATGCATTGCTAATGCCATCTATGTTTTCAGCACGACAAATATAAATGCCACGATCTTCAACTTCCATACGTCTGATGATCAATTGATCACCATCAATTTCATGACGTCCATATGGATCAATCTGATCATATAATTTTAACCACGATATTGTCGGTCTTGGATTACCACTGGCGATGCATCGTAATTCACCACGTTGACCTTGTACAATTGTTTGTCTTGCAGGTTCAACACTAACGACTGGTGGTGATTTCCGTTTTGAACCACTAACAGCACCACCGTTAACACTTAGACGAACTTGTGCTTCAGCCGTTCCATAGGAATTACTTGCAATACATGTATAGACACCATTATTATAATAATCAATATTCGTAATGGTTAATACATTGCCCATTACACGTGAATTATTCGGTAATTGACCAGCATCCAAACCACCTGAATCGGATGAAGATTGTCCGCCAACAAAAATCCATCGTACCGATGGTATTGGGCGCCCGGTTACATTACATTCAAATCTTACACGTTCACCACGTATCGTATCCGATGTAGATGGTTGAACACGTGCCGTTGGTACAACACCATTAACATGGACGTATGCATATTTATGATAATCATGTACGAATAAAACGGTTTTCTTTGAATCTGAACCAGCCGAATTTGTTGCATGACATTCATATTCAGCTTCATCGGTTTTCTTTGCTGATGGTATATAAAATATGCCGGTATCTGGTTGAAATGATGCCGAAGGATTAAGAATTTTATTATCCTGTTGTGATTGTTTCCATGAAAGACGTGGACGTGGAAATCCATCAGCCATACATTTAAAGGTTACTGGATTACCAACATGAACTTCCAGATATTCTGGTTCAATACGAACTTTTGGAGCGAATTTCTGCACCGATGGTCTTACGATAACAATTGTACGAGCTGTAGCAATACTTTCCAAATCGAAACCAGAACAAACATATGTACCACCATGTTCTGGTTGAATATTTGGTATTGTCAAGGTACCACTAGCTTCCGAATAAGCTGGAGGTAATTGTCCTTCCAATTTTATCCAATCCAGATTAAAATATTGACTTATCTGACTAGTACCGGTACATTTGAGCATAAGTTGCGAACCAGCTGGCACATGTTTCACTTTCGGTCCTTCAATATGTACACGAATCGTCTGATGTAAGTGTATTGATTCACAGCGGCTATTCGCTATGGATTCATTACGTTGATAGCCAATATTACATATTTCACAATTACGTCCAGTATAATTTTTCATACATTGTAGACAGGTAGGCAAGCCATCAATATCTAATTTACATGTTGGTGAAAAATTATTTGCCATGGATTCTGAAGGACATGGACAACGGCGACAAGCATCCGGAGTGCCAAGTGTTGCATCACCATAATAACCATCTGAACAACGATCGCAATGATTACCGGATGTATTATGTTGACAATCTATACAATGACCAGTTATTGGATCACAACGATCCGAATGTTGATGGCAACGACAACGAATACATTTTGGTTGCTGATCATGATGATGATGATGATGATTCATATCAATTTCACGAATATAATTTGATGCACATTTTTCGCAGGATAATCCTTCATAAGCTTCCGGGCACTGGCATTGTTCAACTTCATATGCAAATGGTCGTAGATCACCATTGGTTTCATCACCTAATGATTCGACAGCCACATCTAATCCAATATTGGATAGAAATGATTGTTTCATCTGTGTATGAAATGTTGCACGTATAGCAATCATTTCAACGTTGACTAATACATTCAGGAAATCTAAACGATTGGCCATACCGGTAGCTTGTGTTTGATGATCAATTTTTTGCCACATTTCATCTTCGGCTTGTAAACCAATTTCAAATCTTTGATCAAGATTAGCAGGAAATTCAGCTGAACTAATATATTGAAGCATTATGCCGTTGCCCAAAAGAAAAACATCAGCATCATTAATAAATTGGCCAGAATTCTGTACAATATATCTTCGTGTAAAACGTAGACGACCACCATATGATGATAATCGATTACCAAGAAAATGCCGTGGTAAAAACCAATATAATGTTTCCGGATTTGAATCAGGTTCCAGTGGATTTTCATGTAGCCAAAAAAGTGAATAAAAATGTGCTTCATTCGTAGAGAAATTATATGAAATACGATCAGTATAACGAACTGTTTGAAAACGAGTAGCCAATTCTAATTTTGAATCAGCAAAATAATTCTGTGAAAAATCCATCCAAATTGTTGTACGACGTAATCGGCTACTTTGACATTGATCGGTAACACCAAAACAAAAACAAACTGAACATCCATATGGATTATTAGCGGCTAGATTAAAATGGCCATCACGACATTGGTCACAATTATCACCAATGACATTAAGCTTACAATCACAATTCATTATCGTTGCTGCTGCTGATGATGATGATGATGATGGCTGACATTCTGAATTTTTTGTTCCATTACGATTACATTGACAATCAGTGTCATCAACGATCGATAATGATCGGCTATTAGCATCACCATGATGTTGATGTTGATAATAATGATTACCACTACCAATTATAGTTGGACGACAATCATCAGATGTACCATAGGTAGCATTACCATCATAACCAGATTCACACTTGTCACAATATAGTCCAGTTGTATGATGTTTACAATCCTAAAATTAAATTTAAAATTTAACAAAAAATTTCATTCAAAATTTTTCTACACATACCATACAATGGCCAGTCAATGGATCACAATCAATTGAATGTCCATTACAAAAACATGGTACACAACGATGAAATTGACTATTGGTGTCATCATCATAAATACCATCTTGATTCGTCATTAAATGCATTTTAAAACCCGGTGCACAACGTTCACAAGATGTACCAGAATATTCTTGTGAGCAGCGGCATATTTCAATTGTATTAACTTTTGACATTGATGGTGGTGACCATGATGATAATGCCATATCAGTTGCTGTTGTTGTCATCATATGAAGCTCAACACTTGTATCTAATGTAATGGCAATCAGACCAATCCAGCTGATATCGTTTGTAACGGTGGCCAATAAAAGTATTGAATCAAGATTTGCCAATATTATCATTAAATCACGACGACTAGCTGGTTGACCATCGTCACTACGATGCCATTGATTTTCAAATAATGCAATACTAATAGTTGTTGCAATCAATGGATGTAACGGCTGTTGATGATAATATTCTAATGATTGATTATTGCCCATAATTATGGCAAATGGTTTACGATGACCATCATGACCACGTTGAAAATAATTTCCTTGAAATCTGAATGTATAATTCAAATAACCACCATATGATGTGATACGATTACCAAGAAAATTGAATGGTAATTGCCAATATAAATGTGATGATGTTTGGCTAAAATTTTGAAAAATAATTTCACGGTTTAAATGGTCAAATGTTAACGATTCTGATGATGATTGTTGCTGAGTAGCCATTTTATTTAAATCACGATCACGTAATATGAATCCATGTGAATAACGATCAATATTCGCAGCAATATGATTACGATATAAATTTGTTGCACCATTACAAACATTGGTGATACCGAAACAGAAACATTCTATACATCCAGTATGGCTATAATCATTTAGATAAAATGAACCATCCTGGCATTTATCACATAAAATTCCTGTAACTAGCTTTTTACATTGACAATGTTGTCGATGTTGTTGTTGATGATGAGAAAATTCTTGTTGAAATTGGCCATTACTGTTATCGATATCATCGATATTCAAACGAGTAGATGTTGTTGTCATATTCGGATGGACACTTCCCACGGGATGGCATGCTATTAACGGTTCTATATTTATATGAATGAAAAAAAAGACGAGACAAAAAAGAGAAAAAAAAAGTGAAAACAAAAATTTTTTTTCAAAAAAGAAAAAAAAAGTCATTCTCATCTGACATTCTCATATACCATGCTGATGATGATGATGATGATGATGATGATGAAAGATGTTGTTGTTATATTGTCGATTGTTATTATTATTATCATCATCGTTATAAGTAACAACAAAATGTTGATGATTATGGCAGTTAAATTCATCACTATCATCAAGACAATTGGCTATACCATCACAATAATAATGATAATCGATACAATGACCATTAATTTTACATCTAAACATTCTATGATCACATGCTTTTGTTTTGTAAAGATATTATGGGTTTCCAATCACAAAACATTTTCAAGAAGATAGATAGATAGATAGAGAGGAATGAACAGGAAAACATGGAAATAACAAAAAAAAACGGGCAAAAACATATATATATTTAGACAGACACATTCCAAAATGAGATGGACCATGTACATAGAGCATGAAAGAAAGATATCACGAAAAAAAAGAAGAAAAAAAATGACAAATCAAAGAAAAAGTTATTTCAAAAAAAAAAAACAAACATGCGACGATTAGAAAAAAAAGGATCAAAAGTGTCTACATTGCTTGTGTGTTTTAGACTCATAAATAAACAAAAAAAAATTGATGGACATAAATGTTTTTTGTGTGTGTGTGTGTGTGTGTATGTTTAATTACCATACATACCACAACCAAATTCATCATTACCATCCGGATGACAATCGATCATTGAATTACAACGATAAGATTTATCTATACATGTACCATTTGAACATTGAAATTGATTACCGGGACAATCCACTATAGAATCCAAGATGAACAAAAAAAAAAAGAAAATTCAAATTATTAAAATGGGCCACAAAACGATAAATAATAAAAAAAAATGGCCATTACAATAATCACAATCACGATTATTATTATTATCGTTTATTACGACACACATACCTTTCAATGAACAAAATTGTTCACCCGTTGTATCGTTAATCTTTTTCACATAGCCACGTTCACATTTGTCACAATGTTCGCCCTTAATGTTCCAAACACATATCATTATTGAAAAAAGGAGAAAAAAAAAGAATTAGCCATTTTTTTTAGCCAGAATAAAATGAATGAGAACATACCTCATAACCAATTGGACAGGCATCACAAACTACATTTTGTCGTCTAGAATCATAATGGCATGGTATCAGTAGCCTTAATATGTGTGTGTGTTATCAACAACAACAAAAACGAAAACAAACGAATGAGAATGAATTAGATGACAGTAGTGGTGGATATGGAATAAATAAATAAAAAAAAACAGAAACAAAAAAACAAAATTTATATCCAGATAACCGAAAAAGTAGAAAATTAACTTCTTTAAACAAACAAAACTACTACTACCACTATCACTTACCAAGTTGATGGAAATTCTGTCCATTCCAAGTCGTCTACACTATTATATAGTATATAACAATAATATGAAAGGAAAATCCCAAAAAAAAAAAAAGTAATTTCAAAAAAAAACAGAAAAAATTTTTCATTTCAAAAAAGAAGAAAACTTACATATTATCATTAAGTTGATGATTATGATGATCAACATTATTACTACCACATGGACATTTAATACAATGATGATGATGATGATGATTTATATCATCGTTATATCCAGTAATAGTAGTAGTAGTAGTAAACGTTGATGATGATGATAATGGTAATGGATGATGATGATAATAATAACCACGTTCACATTGTTCACAATGAAAACCTTGTGTATGATTTTTACAATTTAAACATTGTCCAGTATATGGATCACATTCATTTGAATTGCCATTACAATCGCATTGTATTTCCATTTCCGGTTGATTGTTCAATTTTTCACAAGATGTACCAGAATATCCTTGTGGACATGAACATTGTTCAACAAAAGCTGAACGTTTCCTATTCAAATGGCTATCAGTGATTCGGCCAGATTCTAATTCAATATCCATAATAGATGATTCTAAAATGATTGAATCATATGATGCTTTAATCAATATATCATCAATATTTGAAATAATTTGTAGAATTTGTTGTCGATTCAAATCGCCTACGATGAATGATGAATTTTGATCGTTCGTGATTGTTGGTTCATTTGATTGCCATTCACCAATCCAGAAACGGACTGATCTTCGATGATTATCATCATCATTATCATCATCATCAATGTTGTTGTTTTTGCTGTTGATTGAATGTGAATATTTTCGATAATGATACATTGTTCTATTTCCATTACGAATAATAACATCGGGTAAATCATCCAACGGACTTGGTGTGAATGGTTGTCGATAACGAACTAAATAATGTAAATGGCCACCATAGCTTAATAAATGATTACCACGAAATGGTTCCGGTAACCGCCAATAGAAATAAACACTATCTGGTGTATGTACCGAAGCTATTGTTGAATCAATTGTATGTTCACGTGTTATTGGATCCAATTGAATGGCATGTTGATTTGGTGGACAACGATCCGATACATCCACATAGTCACCGGTCCATATTCGACCAATAGCTGCAACGGTCAATTTCATTTGATCATTCAATGTAATCGATTCTTGCTGTATGGATGAACTATAACAAGTGTCTGTATGACCAAAACAATAACATTGTAAACATTCACTTTGATCATTGGCCAGATCATTGAATAATGGTGGTTGACATAGTAGATTTATTGCTGAATTTTTTTTTCAAAGAAAAAAAATCATTTTAAAATTCCAACAAAAAAAAAAAAAAAACTTACGTTTAACAATCAAAATCGTTTCATCATTAGCCAATTCTGAATGTTTTGAATTAATTGCTTCACAACGATAACGACCTTGATCATTAAACATAACATCAGTCAATGTCAACGTTCCAATACCACCATTAGAAATGGTCGTAATTTTTGGCGAATCCGGTATTGGTTCATTATCATTTTTACGCCAATTAATCAACGGGATCGGTAAACCAATGGCACGACATGTTAATGTTACTGGATAGGAAGATAAAAAAAAATCAATCAAAACCAAAAGTCAAAAAAAAAATTATTATTAATGGGTGGTGAATCGAATGGCAAACAAATAAAAACAAAAACAAAATGAAATTGTCCATGCAAAACATGCAAACACAATTAATTAATTAAGATTTCTTTTTGCACCAATGAAAATATGAAAAAAAATTGGTTCCTCCCCAAAAAAAAAGACAAAATAAATGATTTATGATTTTGACAACATACCAGTTTCACCTTCAACCGTAATGATTGTACGGCTTGGATTCTGTACAATCGTTGGTTTTGAGCAGCCAATCTATATGTGTGTGAAAATGAATTAAAGATTGATTGGTTGATTGAATAAATGAATGAAAAAAATAAAATAAATACCTCATCACTTTTATCCTGACAATCGAAACGTCCATCACATTGGAAACTTTTCGGTATACCTATATATATCACAAACGGAAAACGGAATTAACAAAAAAATTTCGCAATCAACCTTTGAGTGTGTGTGTGTATGATTCACGATACATACATTGATTACCCGATTCACATTGATATTCATCCATTTTACATGTTGACGATGAATTCATCATATGATTCATTTCATCTTGATCTACCCACACACACACACCATGATAATTTCAATGACAATTGAGATGTTGGAAATGATGGTGAAAAAAAAAGTAAAAAAAAAAAACAAATATCGTTATTATGTAATCAGTATATGAATGAATTTGAAATATATAAAAAAAATAAAATCAATGAAAATGAAAACTGATGAAAGAAAAAAAAAATGAAAAATTTGTAGGCGACCCCATCATCATCATCATCATCATCAACGTTATAATTTTGGGTTTGGGAAATATTTTATTTGCTGTGAAAAAAAAACTTTAAAACTAGGGCATACACACACACACACACACAAAGCAGGTTAATGAAAATTAATGTCATATATACACCCACACACAGCCACATTCATACATAAATTATAGACATGCAATGCAGGAAAAATAAAATTGTGTTGTGCAATAAAAAAAAAATTCATTTTTTTCGAAACATAAGAAAAACAAATTGGACCATAATGACATTTACCACATGATTGTTCATCACTATAATCACCGCAATCATTTTCCATATCACATCTTTATTTATTTGGTGAAAGATATTTGGATTTGAATGAAGCAAGTGGTTTGCATATATATTGGTTAATTGATTTGGATTGGAAAATGTGAAATGAAAGAAAAAGAGAGAGAGAGAGAAAGAAAAAAAATGGAAATTGATGGAAAAATGTTAATTTCATAATTTGGTTGATTGATTGATTGGGAGAGAGAGAGAGAAAAATACCTATAAACTTTCAATATACAAAGACCATTTGTACAACGAAATTCATTTGGTTCACATTGACAATTTTGTTCATCACTTTGATCGGAACAATCAAGATCTTTGTCGCTTTTGTTTTTGTTAAATAAATTAAAGGTGATTTTTTATAAAAAAAATTCATTCAAATAAAATTGGTTGATTTTCATACCATACATGCTCTTTCATAATACATTCACCATTAGTACAAATGAATTCATTTTCATTACATCCTTGTTGTTGATGTTGTTGTTGTTGTTGTTGATCATCATCATCATCATCATCATTATCATCATTCATATCTATATCAACATCATCGTCATCATCAACAATGGTCGAAACAGTGGATGATGATGATGATGAATAAGTTTCTGATTAAGCAAAAACGATCAATTGGTTAAAGTGGCAAAAAAAACAAACAAATCAAGCAAGGGTTAACACAATGAGAAAATCATTAAGAGAAAAGAAAATTATTGTTATGCAAACCTCCTTGATCATTTTGAGGTAAATGATTGATCATTATCTCATAATCGTAAGCTTGTAGCGTTTGTAAAGGAGAGAAAAAAAGAAAGATTTTTTTTCAAGTTGAAAGCAAATCCACAATAAAAAAAACTTACTTGGTTGAACAGTAAGATAAGCTGCTTTTTGTGCCAAAGGTACATCAGAAACACTAGTGGTAGAACAAACATAAACACCAGCATGATCCAATTGTACATTGAATAATAATAAACGACCACGATTATCAACAGCTTCCGGTGGCAATGATTGTCGATTTTCACGTCGCCATTCTACTTGTAAACGAGAATCACCTTCATCACGACAACGAAATACGGCTTCTTGTCCTTGTCGTACTGTTTGTCTTTCTGGATAGATTTGTAATGCAATCTGCTGTCTAGGACAATCCTGTTCATCTGAACCATCTTGACAATCTTGTATATCATCACATCTTTGTCGTTGATCAATACAACGACCATTTGCACATGTATATTGACCTTTTTGACATATCCCTATAAATCCGGAAATGTGTGTATGAATAAATAAAGATTAAATTCATTCAGATTCAGATAAACAAAAAAAAAGTTTGATCATCAACAAAGATCGATACTTACAACATTCCAATTCATCGGAACGATCCGGACAATCAGATTCTCCATTACAAAGTAATGCACGATCAATACAAAGTCCAGTACTGCAACGAAATTGTGATAGACGACAAGTTCGATTTTCTGAATGAAAAAAAAGAACAGAAAAAGAGAATAGAGAAAAACCAACCGGAAAAGAAGAAAAATTATTCAGTTCTCAAGAATATCAAATCAAAACCAAAAAAGGAAAAGAAAAGAAAAGAAAAAATTTAGAAATGAAAAAAAACACCACTGACACACACACACATATAACCCCTTTGACTTTTAGTGTGTGGTGGTGGTGGTGGTTAGTGAGAAACACTTAGCTAGATTAGATTTGGCAAAAGAAAAAAAGACAGAAAGAAAAAAAATTGCCAAACTATTCATTAAGCAAACAATGATGAATGTGAGAGAAACAAATTGGCTTTGGAATGGTAAAAAAAAATTCCAAATCAAAGTAAAACTACTACCTAATCAATTCTGAAAGTGAAACGCAAAAAAAAACTTTTTCATCTGATTTTGATCATATTTTTTTCTTCACTAATTATCAATGAATTGTATGCATGTGATGTGAAAAAAGGCTAATTAAATAAAAGGAAAAAAAATTGAATCACAATTGATTGACAGCTGATTGGTTGGTTGGTGTGACAATAAGATGGTGGTGAAACTTTTTTTTACGGTAACAACAACAAAAAAAATGTCAAAAAATTATATTTACCACAATATTGTTCATCAGAAAAATCGTAACAATCGTAATAGCCATCACATCTGCATCACACACACACACACACAGACAGACAGAGAAATAAACATGACAAAATCATCATGAAATTTGTAAAAAAGAAACACAAGTTAAAAAAGCATTGAATTGTTCGATTGTTGTTGTCAGCATTGTTGATGATTATAATTAGATTAGATTATTATGTTATTGAACAGAATGGAAAAAAAATTTGAATAAAAAGATTACATTAGTAAAAAGAATAAAATTGATGATCAAATGAAACAAAAAAAATGTTTACCTTAAAGATTCATGTATACAATTGCCATCTGTATGGCATTCAAATTCATGTGCACCACAAATCACTGATTTGTTATCATGATGATGATGACAAATTTTTTTTTTACCCACATGCAACAAAGTAGCAGCAGCAAAAAAAAGAAAGCATTAAAAATGAGAAATGTAAACAGAATTAGTTAGATGGATGTAGATGTTTATACATTTAGATTCTTGTTTACGAATCATCAAATAAAATTAAGGGAAAGAAACATATTGAAAACAAATTCAGCAAATACAAACACACACACACATACGATTTCCGTTTCGTGTATATATGTGTGTGTGTGTATGTGTGGGTATTTGATAAATAAATATATAAAAACAATATATATCGAAATCAAAGAAGAAAAAGATTGATCGATCAATGGAATGGAATGGAATGAAATGAATTGTGACTTACTTTGACAATCAAGCTCATCGCTACCATCAAAACAATCTTTATGAAAATTACAACGGAAATCTTTCGATATACATTGGCCATCACGACAACGAAACATATTGTTATCTTCATTACATTCATTGTTGTTTACTGATCAATGAATGAATGAATGAATGAAATGAAATGAAATGAAATGAAATGCAAAGACAAAATCGATGAAATTGAAACAGGAAATGCATGTCGAAATGTGGAAAAAAAAGAAATAGTAAAAATCAATGATATGATTAAAGATTATTGATCGTTTTTTGTTTGTCTGTGTATGTGTGTGTGTGTGTGTGTGTATGTTTTTCAATGATGATTATCATAATTACATACCGATACATTGAAGTTCATCACTACCATCGAAACAATCATATTCATTATTACATAATAATTGTTTTGAAATACATTTCTGGCCATCATGACATCGAAATTGATCTGGACGACAATGTTTTACTAATAAAAAAAAATTGAAATAAAAAATTTATCACCATTTATTTTTTAAAACCTTAACAACTTACCCATACAATCGTCGATCATTTCATCGGATCCATCAAGACAATCTTTAATTGCATTACATTTTAAACGTTCCGATATACATTGGCCATTTGAGCAACGAAATTGTCCAAATGCACAAACATTTTCTTCTAGATTATCAATTGAAATGAAAATGAAAAACAATTCAATTCAATTAAATTAATTAATTTTTTTTTTGAAAAAAAAGTAAACGAAAAAAAAAATTGAATGAAATAACATAACATACCACAATGAAGCTCATCAGTATGATCAAAACAATCATATTTATAATCACAACGTAAACGGCTATCAATACATTGAAAAATTGAATGGCAACGAAATTGATTTGCTTGACAATGGCAATCACGTTCATCACTACCATCATGACAATCAGGATGATCATCACAACGTTGTCTTTGTGAAAGGCAAAGGCCATCATAACATTGAAATTCATCTGGACGACATTCTGTGTGTGTGCAATGTGAATAATGAGGAAAAAAGCCAAAAAAAAAAAAATAAATATCCACACCCACACACACATTCAACAAAGAAATAAAACAAAAAAAAAAAACGTTATCAAAAATCGATCACAATCAATCACTCTATAAAATCTGGGATACTAATCGAATTCTATCGTGATATAGTCATTCATTCAATAATAAAATGATATTCATTCACAATTCATTCATTCATTCATTTATTCATTGCAATTCAAACCTTTTGTAAATGAAGCTGAACAATCATCTTCATCGGTACGATCCGTACATTGTATCCAACCATCACAACGTTGTTCAATCGGTATACAATAACCATCTATACGGCAATGAAATTCATGTTTTGAACATAAATCTTCATCAATATTGGTGGCTGTGGTTGTCGTCGTCGTTGTCGTTGTTGTTGTCATTGTCGTTGTTGCCATTGCAGCAGTAGCAATGGTGACATTTGTAATGGCAGTGATAATTGATGATGAATTTATAGGCGGTGGTTCATCATGATGATGATGATGAATTATCTTGATATGCGAATTATTATTATTATGATTAAATTGGGCCAAATTTTCATCATCTTCATTTTCATCGTCATCGTCGTCGTAGTTGTTGTTGTAGTTGTCAGGTTCATTATCGTCATCATTATTTTCAATGTGTGATTCTTTTTGCTGATGATGATCTAAATTTGATCCGACCTTTGACTCTTGATAAATATCCGGTCGATTATCTTCATAAATATATTCAAATTCATCATCAGCTTCATCATTGTCTTCGTCGTCGTCATCGTCGTCGTCATCGTCTTCATCGTCATTGTCAGCATCATCATCATCATCATCATCGATATTATCCGATTCGGTTGGCCAAAAAACTTGATGTTTATTTTTTCTCTTACCATTATTGGTTTTTTTCATCATTTTCTTTGAATTTTTCCATTCGATTCCTTTCTGTTGTTGTTGTTGTTGTTTTGTTGTTGAATAAATCGTTTTTTGTGATTTAAATTTGAATGAAATTTGATCGAAATAGCTCTATATGATTATTATTGTTGTTGTTACCATTGTCGTTATCGATAATGGGATCATTATTCTTTTTACTTGACAATTTAGATTTAAATTTTCGTCGTTGTCGTCTTCGTTGTTGTTGTCGATGATTTGATGATGATGATTGTTGTTGTTGTTGTTGTTGTAGCAAAGATGAACGTTCAAGATTATGATGATGATGATGATTATGAGGGACGGAATTTGTATTTTTTAATAATTTTTTCTTTTTAAAATTTTTTCGTTGCGATCGATCATGTACTGATAGATTTGGATGATTTTTACCATCATTTGATGATAATTGATGATTATTAATGGCCTCATCATGATGGATAATTGGTGTATGTGATTGCAAAATTTTGGACCAAAATTTTTTTGGATTTTCATTGTAAACATAATTGCCACCACCACCAACCTATAGGTTTGGAAAAAAAAAAACAAAGAAAAACAAAGAATAAATTCGAATGTCAACAGGAAAAAATTGTCGTATTCATAAATGATGTTATAGAGTGATTTCGAATGTTCCAAAAATCCAATCCTATCATCATCATCGGCCATGAGAAACCAAAGCCGAAAAAAAGAAAGAAAAAACCATTCCGTTGCCATTTTTTTTGTTGCAACTACCAGAAAACGAATCAAAAAATTGAAATCACAAATTCATTTTTCATTATATTGTTATAAATGTGTATGTGTTTGTATATGATGATATAATGATACCACTTTCATTTTCATTTTCATTTCATTCATTTTTGGGTGATGATCATTTCGAACACGAAACATACATACACACACACACACACATTGAAATGTGATAATGTTTCATAAATCATGATTTCCCAACCAACCAACCAACCAACCAGTTAGATGGAGGGGAAAAAAAATCTTTGAATTTGCTAATGCTTTTTTTCTGTATAAAAATAGTCAAGTCATGCAATAATGCGATACAAAAACACCGTCACCACCACCACCACCACTACACAACAGATATATCTTTAAATCTTTTCAACGAATAAATTCTTCATCCATAAGATGTATTTGAGGTGTAAGTAGAATTTTTGTTTTTCTTGTTACAAAACATTTCCTAAGAAATTCTATAGAATCTCTTCTATAGAAATTGTCAATTAAAAAAAAAAAAATTTTTTTTTGTGAAAAATGGATCGTCATTTTTTTTTTGGTTCCAAGTACATAAAAAATGATATGATATGATATGATTATGATTATTAATTATAATGCACTGTTAGCAGTCAATCAGTTAGCTAGCGCATGGCAAAAATCCGGCTATTTACACACACACATACTTCCCATTTCAACCAAACAACATTACAGCAATTAAGTGTGAAGAAAAAAAAAAGGTAAGTGGATGTGTGTGTATCGTGACTGCGAAAAAAAACTAAAAGAAAAAAAATCAAATGTCGAAAATGAATTTGATTTTGGTTGGTTGGCTGGCTGGCTTGTCGGGTAATTACAGGATTCTTTTTTTTTGTTGCACCAACCAACCAACCAACCAACCAAAAAAAAAAGTGTGAAAGAAAAGAAAAGCTAAATTTACATATTTATATACATCGTGCACACACACACACGCATAATCATGTTTGAGATTTTTGTCACCATCATCATCATCATGTCATCATATGCATAATATTTCAACACTTCAACCATTCTCAAAATACTTGTGCATGTTGAACAAGGTGATCATTAGTGGATAAACAAAAACTTCGTGTAAAACACCAAACTATATGTGTGTATGTGTTAATTTTAGATTCTTGAATAACTATTTTTTTTATTCTATAGTTCAAGTTTCTTTTTTTTTATTCTTCATTTTGCCCAAGTTGCACATAGATACATTGTGATTCAGAATATGATTTTGAAATCGAAGAAAAAACTTTGATTTCTAGCTCTCTTTCTCTCTCTCTCTCTATCTTGGATTGAATTTGGAATTTGAATCCAAAAATCCAGCAAAAAAAAGATACTCAACAACTATATTATTGAATTGAAATTGATTGATCCTAAAAAAAAAATGAATGTCATCATTCAAAATTGGAACATAAAATAACATGAACCAAGAGTTTGATAGTGACACAGCAACAACAACAAAAAAATGAAACTTTTTCGCCAAAAAACCATTCATTCGTGCATATTTATGCTATACAGTTATGTGATTTACACACCGACACACACACACATTAAGTATTAATCATTATATTATACTTGAACAACAACAACAACAACCACGACAAAATGGCAATAATAATTCTTGTTCCAGAATAAAAATTATTTGGAACAAAAACGAAATAATAATGATCATTGTGTGATTAAAGGTTTTGAATTGAATGAACGTGAATAAATAAATAAATAAAATTCATGAATTCATCAAATGAAAAAAAAATTGGCAAAATTGAAATGGAAAATGATCATCATCATCATCATCATATCTAAACCCGATCATTATAGTCATGACAAATGATGATGATGATGATGATGATGATGATTATAATAATGGTAAGTGTCACATACACTCACACTCGCAAAATTTTGATGATTATGACATGTGTTAGATGACAAAACCATCATCATCATCATCATCACCTAGTTTTATGTAAAAAAAATGGAAATAATTTGCATATATTCATTTCTCATACACTAACACCAAGTTAAGAAACGCCCAACATGATATACACAAACAGAATCTGTCCGCCCAATCATCATCCATATGATGATGATGATGATGATGATGAAGCTAATCATGATAATCAAGAATTGAAAAATGAAAATTCCAAAAAAAAAAATGAATTCAATGAACTCAACATGCACACAATTAATCATTTGAATTTTTAAATGATTCAACATCATATTCTTAACAAAATATTCTTGGTTCTTGTTCGGCAACGAATGAAAAAAAAACAGAAAAAAAAAAAAAAAAATTCCAAAGCAATTAACGAGAAAAAAAATCGGTTTTTTTTCTTCTTTCAAACAAGGAATTAAAGTAAACTTGTTTTCCATGATAATGATGACAAGAATAACAACAAATAAATAAATATAAAGAAAACCAGAAAATCCAGAATAATTACAAAAAAAAAGAAAACCAGATGAACAACCAAAATGAACATCTTGCCATTCGCTAATTTTTTTTTTGCTAGTATACACAAATCTCCTTAGGGTTGTTTTCGAACATTTTCAAACGGCTATTTTTGCAACAACAACTGAACAACAACAATGACAACAAAAACTGAACCAATTTTAGTTATTTTGGTCGAATGCTTTCTTTGTTTTTAAAAAAATTCCCGGATTCTTCATCTTTTATCTTTTGCATTCATTTACAACAACAACAACGAAAACAAAAAAAAATAACAACAAAGCAAAATTCAACGAATTCGATATTGCCGAAATCATCATCATCATCATCATCAATCTATCTTCAGGCCGTATTCATGAATGAAATACAAATCAACAAAGAAAAAAAAATTCTTAACAAGAATCTGCATATTTAATCACCAGACTGACATGTGTGTGTATTACTCAGCTTAAAAACATCCAACCATCCAATCTTTTTGTACAATTCTATCAAATGCTTTACTTGTTTCAGTAACCTTTTCAACAATGAAATACAAAATCAACAAAAAAAAAAATTCTTAACAAGAATCTGCATATTTAATCACCAGACTGACATGTGTGTGTATTACTCAGCTTAAAAACATCCAACCATCCAATCTTTTTGTACAATTCTATCAAATGCTTTACTCTTGTGTTCCAGTAACCTTTTTCAACAATGTTCATTTTCTTGTTGTTGTTGTTGTTGTTGTTGTTAATGTTGTTTTCCATGGATAATTTCTTTTTATTTTCATTTCAAAATAAAAAACAACAACAACAACAACAACAACAACAAAACTTATTCTTATTTCATCATTAATGATGATGATGATGATGATGAAAAACACAAACACACAAAGAGCCAAAAAAAAAACACAAAGATACAAAAAAACAACAAAAAAAAAGAGAAAAAAACATGACATTTTGTTTTCTGTTTTCTGTTTCGTTTTTTCTACTTTTTTTTTGTTCTTGACATGTATGAACAAATGAAAAAAAAATGATTTGAATGAATGTTTTTGTATTCGCATGACTTTTTGTTTTACACTGGAATATTTTTTTTTTTGTTTTGTTAGAATTTAGAGGTAAGGTAAGGTAAGGTAAGTAAGTAACTTTTTTTTTTGTTTGTTTGGCAGATAGATGATAAGGTAAGTGGGTGTCTGTGTGGGCGTTGTTGTTATTTTTTTCCTGTTTATGTTGTTGCTACTGCTGATGATGATGATGATGATGATGATCGATAATTGATGGATATTTCTAATGGAAGGAAGAAGTGAACAACACCATCATAACAAAATAAAAATTGATCTTTTTCTTTTATTCAAGCACATTCAATGAATCGATGATTGATCCAAATGTTTTTTGATTGTAATGAATGAATGAATGAATCTTATCCATAATTACATAATGATAA